GGCCATGGATGTGATTCCTGGTGTATTGGAGGCTTTCAAGTCTATTTTGCATGCGTAGAGAGATCGTGAATAAACTGGATAGTAAGTAGTATTTCGTCAGAATAGCTTGTGTAAATACTATCGAACGTGCCACCCCTTTTTCATAATTATGCACGCGCGCGCGCCCGGCAATGTCGTACGCTAGTAGCGCTGGGGCGGCGGGGGGACCGGGAGTGCTTGGCGGCAGGAGACCTGACCGGTATTGTGTAAAATGTGCGAAAAAAGGAGAAACCGTGATCGAGTTGAAGTGTGCAATGCACTACCTCTGCAAAAGCTGCCTGCAGCAGAAAACTAGAGAAGAAGGTTGGGAGGAGATGTATGTGTGTCGGAAATGTGCGACAGCAGAACGTTCCGAGCCACCGGTTTACGTATTCGTCGACCACGCCAATTTGTGGATTGAAGCTAAAAGGCGCGGAAAGGGAAAGAAACGTTTGGCCCCAGATTGCTCCGAAGACCATCGCGTACGAATTAACTACGGAAATTTGCAGGATGTTGTAGTACCCGAAGGGCAGAGAGTAGAGGGAAAAATATACACCACCGATCAACTCGACTTTGAAAGTGAAGCTTTTAAAGTTATACAGCTAGCACCATCGGGAAAGAGCGGTAAGCAAAAAAAGGTCGATACCACAATCGTACGGGACATTCTTCGATTACTAAGAACCGTACCGTATTCCAAGCGAACCACTGTCGTTTTGATTAGCGGTGATGCTGATATGATTCCTGCTTTAGAAGATATTGCAGAAGAAAAAAATTGGAAAGTAATAATCTATAGCTGGGATCATTGCAGAGCTGCTGATCTGCGTGATTTTCAGCTAACTCGAAGCAATGTATCAATTGCATCACTTGATGAGCACTGGGACACTCTGGTTTATTACAACAAATGTTGTGAAACTATCAGTATGACTGACTATGACCGTAAATGTTCAAGTTTCGTCCTCACCTTGAAATTTCATAGAAGGTTGGTAAAAGATTGGAAAATAGACTGTACTGACTGGTGGACCAGAATAGAGACTGACAGCAAATGGCCGGTTCAATACAAGTGGCTTACAGACAATCACCTGTTGCTCTTGTTCAAAGGCAAGTCAGAAGCGGACACTAGGAGCTGGGGTGTGAAAATTAAGAGAAATACTATATATACCAGCACTGATTTTATAATAGATCACGCTGAGACCTTCCTTACATACGAGGACAGAACAAGGCTGAAGCGGAATCCTGCAAAACGTGTCACAGGGGGCACGGCCAGACTGAAATAAGCTATCCACACTGGCACACAAGAAAAGATGGTGAAAAGATTGTGTCTAACAAATTACATCACCTGTGGGAAATAATTATTGATAAGCACCTTTTGGTCAGTACTTCATAATAATATACAAATCATAGTTTAGCTATAATATACCTCACAAAAGTATAATACATGTTTTTCACAATACTGTATCATCAATTGTCACGTCTATATACAACACCTAGCCCTGCATCCTTCTTGTATTCCATTGTCTATGATTATGAAGTAAGAATACCACATGTGCATTATTACGGGCGCACACCAACTACCACATGTGTAGGCGATACTAATATTATTTCAGTTTTCAGACACTACTATACAATAATCATTAGGATAATACACAGACAGTGGGAGAGCGTGTGTGTGCTGCTGTTGATACAATACTAGACGACATCATAACGAGACTTTCCCTATGGAGGTCTGACTGCTACAGTGGCTCTGTTCAGAACTGATCGAGCCGTGCTCAGAGTTCTGTCTCTCTCTCTGAGACGACGACGAAGATGATGGTGGGAGTTTGTCGTTGCTGTAGGCCTCGGCGAATTCCTTCAACTCCCGGAGGTGTTTCTTCTGCAATGAGGTGGAGGAGGTCTGGGGCCCAATCCAGGGATCATGTTCCAGGGAGGACCCATCTCTCTCCCCCAAACAGGTCTGTATAATTGATGGACTTCTATCTGCCGATGATCATGTACTGGTGTTACAACTTCTCCTAATCTAAAAACCATTCCATTTGCTCCACCTCTTGCCACTGTGTGTGTGTGTACTGCAGGAGTGGCTGCCCGCTGTCAGGGGTAAAGGAATGGAGATACTGGGGACCTTTGTCCGTCGCGGAGGTCAGATCTACGCCGATATGACCTTCAACAACAAGGCCATGCAAATGATGGCAGACTTTGCAATCCAGTTCAACAAGAACAGGTACACAATTCAGTGTGTGAGACTTGTGCGTAATGGGGGATCGTTTCTTCCTCTTTCGTCTCTCCCTCTCTCCCTCTCTCCTTCCCCTTCTTCTCCCAGCTTTGGCCTGGCTCCTGGTCCTCTAGCTGTCAACTCACCGCTGATGCCCAACTGCACTGCCTCCACTCTGCTCCCCATCACCCCTGGAGGTCTGGTCATGAAGATGTCTCCCCTCACTCAGCTGCAGGTGGCCATCAAGAACAACGTGGATGTCTTCTATTTCAGTGTCAACATGCCCACACACGTGCTGTTTAGTGAAGACGGAACCATGGGTAAGAGGAGCAGCGCGCGCGCGCGCGAGAGCGCGCACGCTGAGAGAGAGACAACGGAAAGAGAGGGAGGGGAGAAAGGTAAGAGAGGAAAGGGAGAGAGAAAGGATAAGCAGAACGGGAGAGATGAAAGGAGACAACAGCAGAAAGGAGAGAGCAAGGAAAAGGCGACAGGGAGACGGAGAAAGGCAACGCGGGAGGGGCGATAAGGAGACGAAGGAAGAGAGGGACGAGCGCAAGCAGGCGGCGCGGAGAGGGGAGGGCGAAAGAGAAACGCACGAAGGACGCGCGCGCGCAAAGCGCCAGCATAGCTTTTCACCAACATGCCGCACCATTCTCTATATTCTCTCTCAGACCGTAAGGTGTTCCTGGCGACGTGGAAGGAGATACCTCAGAGCAATGAAGTACAGGCATCTGTTGACAATGTCTCTCTTACACCAGGTATACATGTATGTATGTGTACCTATGCCATGTTTACACATCCTTCACACCATGTTATTCCAGTGTGCCATATTTGTAATGCCGCTTAGTGTTACATGTCAGGTAATATTCATGGATTTACGGGGGGATTTACGGGGGGATTTTATAGGGAATTTTCTGATGTATACTATAGCCACCTAATGACTCGGCACCTAAGAGGGCTATTATGAATGGCATTTTGCATTGTGGGTGTATCACCATGAATGTGAAGAGGGTGCTATATAATTATTTTGGTCTCTCTGGATTAAAACCTCTCCTTTTGCCCATCTCATGCTACAGACCAGGTCCAGCAGAAGTTGGAGACCAACAATGTGTTCCTGATCGCCAGGCGACAGGTTGATGTGGGCGGACTCAACCAGGAGCTGATGTAGATGTCTCTCAAGTTTATCAACAATATCTGGGTACTCGTTGAGGTCAAGGCTGCCCCTGGGTCCACCACTGTGGGGGTAAGGATTCTGATACTCCTGTTCTGTTTATTATTATAATTATATAACGTGTTTTCTGCAGCTTGCCCTCAAGACATCAGCCATGGATGTAATTCCTGGAGTGTTGGAGGCTTGCAAGTCTATTCTCCATGCCTAGAAGACACATTATTGAAAACTGTTGTAGATTACCAATGTAAATTGTAGGGTGTGCAGCTCACTTGTGGCAGTGGCGTATGGCGGGTGATTAGTGCCAAAACTAACTCACTGCTCAACTGTACACCATTTGGTACACAAAGTGTATAGCTACACAAACACATGAGTGTCAATATTATGTCAAGAGTGAGTTAGTTTGGCACTATATAATCACCCGACATGTTGTGGATGGCTATACTGACACTCCTCCCCCGTATGGGAGCATGAGATCATCACTGCAGGTTATAAATGGGACGCGCGTTCTGCCGGCGGCCACCTAAGCAGCGGCAACTGTCGAATCGATGGCCGTCTGTGTTTACTGTAAAAAGGAGGGTAGCATCTCTTTAGTGTGTAAGCAACACGTTATATGTCAAGAATGCGTTCCGAAGAACATCGACAAGTTTGGCTACAAGAATGGTGCGTTATACATTTGTCCTGAGTGCGTCGGGTCTACCGCACCGCGAATGCGGAACGTCTGGATTTTCGCCGACAACTCCAACATTTGGATTGAAGCAATGAAACATACCGCTGAAAGAAAGGGGTTTACTCTAGACCATGACCATCGCGTACGCATCGACTACGGGGGTCGTTTACGTCCTGACAACCTGGCGGGGAAGAATCGAGTGGTGAAGGAGGCCACCCTTTACGGTTCCGTGCCGCCGCCGGTTGACACCTTCTGGGAAAAAGTAAGGACGTACAAATGGGTCGTGAAAACCTACGAGAGGAGCTCTGTTACTCATAAAGAAAAGGAAGTGGATACGGAGCTCGTCGCTGATGTCACGGAAGTCGTTTGCAAAACACCGGTTCATGAGCGAGGCACAATCATCATCATCAGTGGCGATCGTGACATGCGGCCTGCCGTTGAAAAAGCATTGGAAAATGGTTTCGAGGTCCAAATGTATATTTGGAAGAACGCTACGTCTTTAAAAGGCAGTTTGGATGAGTACAAAAAGGAGTATTCAGGCTGTGTTTCATACACATTTTTGGATGACATTGAAGAACAAGCTACCTTCCTGAATACGGAGCTCTCCGAAAACCCACAGGATGACATCTACGATTGCTCTGCAGTAATTTCAATTAAACAAGGGAAGACTCCGAAGGAAATTGTTGACAGTAAAAAGGATTGGAACGATCTAGAAAAACTAACAAAATGGCCAGTTGAGTACAGGCTGCTAAAGGATGGTGATAAAAATAGACATCTGCTACTTGTTTTCCAGGGTATGGAAAAACCAGTTTTAGAGAGTTTAGTGGAAAAGCTCAATTCTCTACCCTATGTAGAACACTGTAGACTGTTCACTAAGTCTTTAGAAAAAACAGGAGTCATAGACGATGACGATGGCTTTAAAAAAGTTGTGAGTGGATTAAAGCCTAAGAAACCAGGTTCAGTCCCAATTAGTAGCGCTAAACTACCCCCACCTGCAAGAAAAACAGCCCAATCCAAAGTCATGCAAAAATGCTGTTCAGGGAAAAACTGTAATAAAGGGAAAAACTGCAAGTTCGGTCACACAGGTGATGATCTTAGATACTTTCGTCGAAGGAGTGGAGGAGCTGGAAACACCAAAAGAAGGACAAGTTGGTGCAACAAAAATGGCCATTGTGACACCGACTGTGATTATGCACATGCAGAAAATGACAGGTGGTGTACAAAGTGCCACAAGCCAGGACATTTCACCAGTGACTGCACAAATTCTAAATGTCAACACCCAAGTCATTAACCATGCTGTGACCTATTATGGTTTTGTGTGGTTATTACGAGAAAAACATCAAGGTTGTGCTTGCTCGCCAAGTTCTGTAGTGCAAACAAAGGTGACTCGCTCTTTGCATTCATTTATCTACTGAGTATAATAAACGGTATTACCCATTTTAAGGAATGTTTAAGTATTCATTGAGCATTCTTAGTTTTCACATGTGACAAACCCGTATTTAATCATGTGAATGCTATTGCACAATGCCCAACGGGCAGTGGGAGTTTCAGATTCCACTATATAATATTAGCTGCAATTATAATTGAGGGGTCAGAGTCAGAGTGGGCCAACCCTCAATATACAACTCTTGCCCTTTTTCCTTCAAATATAATTATGTTCTAAATGTCCTTATAGAACAAAAACCGGTAAGAGTTGTATAATTGAGGGTTGGCCCACTCTGGCTCTGACCCCTCAATTATAGGAGTACACAAACATCAGTAGCAGTGTGTCATGCGATACTATGAAATTATCATGAGACTGGATTACAGTGGCTAAACTCTTACTATAGTGTTCTGTTGTGCTTGTTTTTGTGTGGATGTGAGCATGCAATAGAAGACGAGGTACAGGTAGCGTGGTTCACTTGCACAATAATAATACTGTGCAGTGAAACTGATACTCAACAGTAATAGTTTCAGACACTACTATAATATACAATAATCATTAGGATAATACACAGACAGTGGGAGAGCGTGTGTGTGCTGCTGTTGATACAATACTAGACGACATCATAACGAGACTTTCCCTATGGAGGTCTGACTGCTACAGTGGCTCTGTTCAGAACTAATCGAGCCATGCTCAGAGTTCTGTCTCTCTCTCTGAGACGACGATGAAGATGACGATGGGAGTTTGTCGTTGCTGTAGGCCTCGGCGAATTCCTTCAACTCCCGGAGGTGTTTCTTCTGCAACGCCTGCTGCCTCTCCAGTCGAATGTTCTGCAGCTTTGAACTCTCCTCAAAGATCTGGCGGAGGAAGGAACAACAGTCACAGGCCAAAATCAGCACTTCTTATGTAATTCTATAGAGACTCATTGCTACGATACTAATAACAATTATTTTAATGAGCTTGCGTAGCATTAACTTCAAAAAATGTTTCATACATTTCGGTCTGGTGAAACTGGTCCAACACTACATAAAAGGATTTCAGAGCACAAATATGCCATCAAACGTCAGGATAAGAACAACGGTATATCTGTACATGTGTGGTCAATTAATCATGTTATTGATTGGGAGTCAGCGAGTGTAAAAATGCTTTCGTCCAGACTGTGGGAAAGAAGAGTACTGGAAGCGGTTGTGATCCGCCAAGAGAGACTGACTATGAACCTGGACTGTGGTCTCAACCTGAGCGACATCTGGGAGCCAGCATTACACGCCACACATATAACCTCAACCTCAGAAACATCAACTCAGGCTGTCAGCACGTAAACTGTTGTGCATTTCAGAAACATCAACTCAGGCTGCCAACACGTAAACTGTTGCTCCTTTCTGGCCACAGCCCTTAGCCAAATGTTTTCCTTTAAATTCTGTAACCATCTTAGTTGTGCAGTTTACTGAAGGTCTACGGACCGAAACGTATGAAAATTTTTTTTGAAGTTAATGCTACGCAAGCTCATTAAAATAATTGTTACTTCTTATGTACTTATACCAATGCCTACTTTTACCTCCATTCCATGCCTACAGCTACAACAACCCTTATGACTCTTAACTAAAAGTCTCCAAACATTTGAGCAAGAAAAACTTATGTCCCGCCCAATGGGATTGTTGAAAGTTCCCGTACATCGTGAAATTTTTCTCTCAAATGTTAGAGTCATTCAATCTCCCTATATACCATCCATCTTGGCTGACCTCTTTGTCCAGTTCTCTCTTGCTGAGTTCCACCTTCTCCTGGAGAGCCGTTCTCTCTCTCTCGTGTTGGACTCTCAGTTTCTCGTCCTGCGCCTCCTGAAACGCCTGTAGCATGTCCTGCTCCTGCTGCAGCTGTCTCCTCAGAGCCTCTTGTTCCTTCAACTGAGTCTCGTCGATCTTCACCTGTGGCAAGGACAATAGCCCAGCATACTAGCTACCATACATATACCACACAGAGCCCTAAATAGCTACCTGACTTGTCCATTGTAGGTGTGCATTATGGTGGATAGAATGCTAACCACTCCTGGAGGGAAACTACACTACGTTTCCTTGCTAGCATTTGGTGTCCCACTGTTTCACTACAGTGGATGGCAGCTATATACTCACGGTCTGTTTCTGAGCCATGTCGGCAATGGTTCTCTCATACTGCAGAGCCAGCATGGCGATCTTCCTCATCTGCTCCTCCTTGGTCTGTCGGAGGACCTCGCGATGTCTCTCTTTGGGCATCGTGGCGATCATCTGCTTCTGGAGCAGCTTGTACTGTTTCTGCTGGACCCTAACTGTGTTGTGGTACTGTCGCTTGATCTGTGACTCACTCACCTAGTGAGGGGGAGGAGGGAGAGAGAGGGAGGGGAGGGAGGGAGATGGGGAGACCCAGTGACATAGAGATAAGACTAATCCACAAACCGTTTCCCCCAGAACTATTTCACACAGAAAGCCCAAAGAAGACTCTTACTTAACTTTGACATCATCTTCAAAAACCTCTCAATACATTTTGAAATAGCTGCTAAGAAAGTTTCAACCACATTTTCCGGGCTCAAAAACTAGAATGCTGCATTGCATTCAAGTTGTAAGTTAAACACTCTAACTTACAGCAAGCAAGTGACACTGACTCACTTTCAAGCTCTTGGGATGCTCCTTGAGCTCCAGGACGTGTTTCTTCCTCATCTCTCTGTCGGCCTTCTTGCTGTAGGCCAGCTGGTTGTCCCACTCGAGGCGTGCTGCTTCGAGAGGTGGTCCATTCTGATCTCGTGGAGCGACTTCAGCTGCTGGTACTGGAGGTCAATGGTGGCCGCCAGGTGTCTTCGTCTCATCTCCTGCACCTGGTCCTTGTGGACCTGCATGATGTTTAGTTCCTGAGGGAGAGGGGAGGGAGGGAGAGGGAAGGGAGGGAGAGGGAAGGGAGGGAGAGGGAAGGAGGGAGGGAGAGGGAAGGGAGGGAGAGGGAGAGGGAGGAAGGGAGGGAGAGGGAAGGGAGGGAGGGGGAGGGAAGGAAGGGAGAAGAAAGCTTACAAAACACAAAAAGACGCACCATGAAAAAGGTGGTAGCACTAGAGCACTACATTGTATACACACAAGTAACGTGTACTATTTTTGACTCAAATTTGGCAAGACCACTGAAGTGTGAAGGGTAAAGTTTTAAAAGAGGTGACATGCAGAGAGAGGGATTGCGGGCACGAGAGGGGAAAACAGGGCACACCTCTTGTAGGAGGGCCTTCTCAAAGCCCTGTCTGTCCTGCAGCAGCATCTGCTGGAACTCGACTCTCTCATGTTTGGCCATGGTGTCGAGGATTTGGAGGTGTTCGTTCTCGCTGGCCTTCTGCTGCGTCAGGAGCTCCTTCTTCCTGTCCTCCAGCAGAGCCTTTCTCTGCGGACCCTGCAGACTCTGGTCCTCCTCCAGTCGCTGCGGGGGAGGCGGGAAGGACGGGGGTGGTCATTGCGCATGCATAATGCAATGTGTTAAGGGTATGTGGCAGTACATGAGGACAAAATGGCTCCAACAATAGGGTCCAGTGCAAGAATGCAATTAGGTTCCGGTTTAGTAACATTTTCTAAATTTAGCCCTTAATACTGCCACATTCCGCAGCAATGAGAATGTTAAAAAATCACGTAGGCGCGCTTTGCTTGCTAATTACAAATACATACAAACTCACAGTCTTGAAGAGATTCTTGGTCGCTCTGTAGTCGGCTTTCTGCTGGCCCGAGAAATCTCTTCATCTCAGAGTCTCTCTTGTCTCGCAGCGACTTCTCAAACTTTCTCTCCTCGTTTGTCTCGTACTTGTACCGCTGGTCCATCTCTGCCCGCTGTCGAGATCTGAGTCTCTCAATGTCCCTCTCGTAGCTCGTCTTCAGCTGCTCCAGCTCCCTCTCTTGGGACTTGTAGTGAGTCGACAGTTCGCTCTTATGCCGCGATTCCAGCACTTGCATCTGAGACATGACAGAAAGGAGGGAGAATTTTAGAGTCTGACGTACGCCATACAAATCAAAAGTTCTTTTCGTGGATTTCATGAAGTCACAAGAGTATCATTGGGAATACACTTGTGGTCTGTGCACCAATATTGTGAACCCATCTAATAATGTTGGGGTATTGTGTTTCTGAAGCCAGTACTGTGGCAGTGTTTCAAGAAGCCAAGACTACCAATACTTTATGCAACAGTTTGCAGGAAATTGGGTTATTTGTAACTTGAAGCTGGACACTAAAATATCGCTTGTCCACTCGTCATTATGGGTGTATTGCCATTCTGCACTTTCAGACCAACCAATATCAAATTTATTGACCAAATTTGCAATTTTACCTACCCACGTTCCGTCTCACACATACTGCCACTCATACAAACAAGTTGAAGAGTGAAACTGAATACAGAGTGGCAGAGGCCGCTATATATAAACACACGTAGTACCTGTCCCTTGTGGGTCTGTCTGAGTCTCTTGTAGCCCTGCATCTGTTCCTTGAGCTCCGACTGCAGCTGCCACTCTGCCGCCTGGCGACTCACCATGAAATGAGAACGCAGCGTCGAGAACCCGTCTGCCGTCCCAGTCTGAGGGGGAGAGGAGGGAGGAACGGGGGAGATGGAGAGGAGGGAGATGGAGATGAGAGAGATGAGAGAGCGTAAGACAATAGCCTTGTACCAAGGGTCTTAGGGGTAGACCAGAGAATCCACTGTTTGCACATAAACATCTTCCCAAAACGTACACAAATATTGATATATATGGTGGTGCATGGGTATATAGGAAACAGTGGGGGGGGAGAACCAGTTTCAAGCAGTTGAGGGTTTTAGTGTTCTTCCTTCAACACAACCTTTGCCATACTTTTACTGACATCACTATTATAATGCTATACACACACTAACATCATACATACATGTATGTATGTGAAAGATTAGCGTCATGTGGTTCATGTAGTTGAGAGTTTAAACAATCTGACTCACCACTCTCCTGGCTACCTCCTCAGCAGACGCAGTCGAGTGGTCAGACCTCCGCTGCTCGGAGCTGCGAGCTCCCTTTGGCTCTGGTCTCTTCAACAGAGAGGCCTCTGACTTGAGTCTCATCTCTCTGCCCGGCTTCGCGACGCTGTGGGTGACCGACTCGCTCTGCGAGCGTCCCACGACGCGGTGCGCCCTCTCCTGAGGGTGGGGAGGGCGGGAGAGAGAGGAGGAGGGGGAGGGGGAGGAGTGGTTCTGGACGGAGAGTTCCGGGGCCGTCGCTCGCTGCAACAGAGGCTGCTGTGCTGGTGTGCCTGGTGTATCGTGCGTGTGTTGCGTGTGTGCGTGTATAAGTCAGAGCCTGTGGGCATACAGTGTGTTAATGATAGGAACCACTAGTACAGACTGAATATGGTCCTCTTAGTCTACAAAACGTATCTTGCAAATCGAGTGTCTCACAACTATTTGTTGAACTCCAAGTCATAATCTAAACCACCTGGCAAACAAGTCCCAATTTGGCTGTTACTTTGGAGTTGAACGAGGCCCCCCGGTACGAATTCTCCCACTTATCCCAATAGAAGGGCACCCTCGTTTATAATCAATTCCTCCCTCTCCCTCTGTCTTATACAACGTACCTGTAGACTGGCGCTACTGTTGCTGATTCTCTGAGTGTTCTCTTCGCTCCTGACGCGACGTACGCCGCCCTCCACCCTGCTCTGCGAGGAGAGGCTGTCTGAGAGGGGGACGGAGAGTGGGAGGAGAAACCGGGTGACAGGCCGCTGCACTCCTCCGTCCCTGCGTCACTGGTTATGGAGGAAAGGTGGGAGAAAATTAATGAGACATTACATAAGGGCTAAAATTAGAAACGCTACTAAAGTTAGAACACAACAATAGAGCAGAGTGAAGTAATGGTTTTTAGCAACGTTTCTAAATTTAGCCCTTTCAACTCTTTAACAGAGTTTTGCTGTAAAATATTCTCGATATACATATGGATTACACTTTCAAGACACCTTTAGTCATAGTTTCTTACACACTGAACACAAAACGTCATGCACGAATTTTCTGGTGCAAAGTTTAAATTTACCACTATACATTACCCTCTGGTCACATGACCACGAGGCCCCGCCCCTCCACGGCCTACCTCGGTGGTTCGGACTCGATGTCGTCGTTCTCTGTGCTGGCCTCCTCTCCCTCTTCCTCGGTGCTCATCAACATCTTCTGGAGCCGCCTGTAGTTCTGGTTGTCCAGGAGCTGGACGGCGTCCTTGGTCCTCTGTACCAGCTGGAACAGCACGTCCCCCGACTGGTCCCCACACGAACTTAGGAACTCGTCCTGGTGGTGGAGAGAGAGGGGTTAAAAGTTGATCAGGTAGAGAGAGGGGTTAAAGGTTGATCAGGTAGAGAGAAGGGTTAAAAGTTGACCAGGTAGAGAGAGGGGTTAAAAGTTGATCAGGTAGAGAGAGGGGTTAAAAGTTGACCAGGTAGAGAGAGGGGTTAAAAGTTGACCAGGTAGAGAGAGGGGTTAAAAGTTGATCAGGTAGAGAGAGGGGTTAAAATTTGATCAGTTATAATATGTATGTGTACTGCTAATACATATGAATGCCCCACAATCTACAGGGAGGATGGGCCTAAAGTTTTGATCGTAACTTTGATTAAGACACTGAATTAGAGTGACAGAATTAAAAATGTGCAGTAATCATATAATAATTATGGGAGCAGAGTGGGGAATTAACCACCAACTCTAAATCGAGTAGAAGCCTGGCTTGATTCCCCCCACCTCCTTCCTTCTCTTGCTTACACAGACCTGCATCAGTTCCTCAGCTGTTGGTCTATCCTCCGGAGCCTTCTGCAGACATCGCGTGACCAGTTTCTGGAACCCGTTTGACCAGTCTTCGGGGTGAGCGAGTCTCGGAGGGTCGATCTGGGCTATGTGGTAGAGGGCACTCATGGCGTTCATGTGGAACAGTGGGGGCTTCCTCTCGGCTGAGGGCAAGAGAGGGGAGGAGGGGATAAAAGAAGAGTGAGTGGAAGAGAGAGGAAGGGAAGATAGGGGAGAGGGAAGAGGGGAATAGGCAATTGAATACAGTTCCACACAAAAGACTTGTAGACAAACCGGTGATTACATCCGCATTCTAATTATCGCTGTCACAAAGGGGGCAATGTAATCGCGCATAAATTTTGAAAAGCGCACCGTAATCACGGATTCATTGGTCAATTTCGAAAGCACGTGGTAATCATTCTTAAGAAGAACGGGGCTAGAGAAGAGAGGACGAGAAAGAGGAGGGAGGGGCAAGATGTTACGGAGGAGACGGAAAGGGGAGGAAAGGGGGAGGGAGTAAAGAGAAGTTTTTTTAGAAGGACGGGGCTGCGAGTGTCTTACCCATCTCGATGCAGGTGATGCCCAGTGACCAGATATCGACCTGCATGCAGTGAAACACAAACTATCTCAACTCAACACATACATACCATCACTCCTTGTGCACACATCAACTGTGTGTGTGTGTTTTAAGGCTGTGTGTGTGTGTGCGCGGGAGTTTCAATTATAGCAACTCTATGTCTATTCTTGGCACTAGGGCCCCCACTGGTCCACTCAACCAGTGCAAAATAAGCCCGGAAATGCACTACATAACCAATGCATACACATCATACACATACATACAACACTGTATACTGTTGATACATAGCAGGAGGTTATGTAGTAGTTGGTTTTTTAAGGCCTTATGAGGAGCGGCTACAGAGTGGTTGGTGGGGAGAGGAATGTATGGTACTAATGGGGACATTGTGTGGTCAGTTTACTCCCCATAGTAGAGGGTAACAGTTCCATAGGTAGCAGTGTATAGGACACACCTGGGATTACACATAGGGGTCTGGCTAATCTGATAATGGTAGGAGGGACATTAACATTACTAACATTGTCACAACAGGCGTCAGTGGGTGGGTGTACTGGTGGTGCTAACACTGTGCGTCAATGTAATGTACCTTTCCATCATACTGGCCTTCATCCATAGCCAAGATAACCTCCGGAGCCATCCTACAGGAGAATAGAGAGGGTTTAACTAAAGGAGGTGTCCATATAGTCTTCATTGGTGGCCTCGTGTGGTCTGCAGAGGTCTGGGGAATAGACTATTTTCAAGACCCACAGACTTGCGTGGTCGTATTGGGTCTTGCAAATTGAGTCAGCTTTTCCACACAGTGTACGTATGTCCAGACCGAACTAGACTACATGGGGACCAGTCTTAAGGACAGAGAGGGAAGAGAGTGGGGAGGAGAGAGAGGAAGGAGAGAGAGGGAGGAGAGAGGAGAACTCACCAGAAAGGAGTACCCACGAAGGAGTTGGCAGGTGATCTCAGAGAAGCCGAGCAAAGTCAGCTAGAGTAGAGAGAGAGAGAGAGAACGAGATTAGAGAGGGAGAGAGAAGAAAGAAGTGGGCAGATGATGTTGAGAGGAGGGTGTGGTGTGGTGTGAGCAGGAGCGAGGTTGGGGATGGGGGAGTTACCTAGTTTGGACACAGCCTCTCCGTGAGTCGAAACATGCCTGCTTGATGTCCCGGTGGAACAAAATCCGGTTGTTCGGTTGCACCGGTAGACCAGCCCCTGGGGGTGGGTCCTGGGGTGGATTACCAGGGGATGAGAGAGGGGAGTAGGGAGAGCGACGAGAGATTCATAGGCGTGGTAGAAAGGAGAGAACGAGAGACAGGTGAATTCCGGTAGAGTACCCCGAAGAGAATGCGTATTTGAGAGAGACCCCAGAGAACATGGAAGAAGGAGAAGGAGAGAGGCAGCGAGAGAGCCGCACTGTGCTCGGACTGCGAGGGCGTCCCCGCTCCGTTTGATGAGATCTGAAGCTTCATTGTAGAGAGAGAGAAGGAGATTCCACGCAATGATGCATGAGAGCCTAAGAGGCCTTTAGGCGACGGAGAAAGGCAGACGGATGCACGTTGAAGGGGATCTAAACTGCGATCTGAACCTGTAATCTTGTGACTGGGCTGTGTGCGCGGGGGGAAAAAGGCATGCAGAGGCGAATTTTTTAGTTAAGGGACGAGGCGATCTCTTCCCCAACCCGAGTGCAAGCGAATGGCTTCTTCGGAGGCAACGATTTTCAATGGGAAAGTCGAGCTTTTGTATGTCCTTGCTTATGTTCTGCGACAGGGTGCGTGCACCCCGCCATCACCCGCCTGGATAGTGACCTCAGGTACGGGTCGACCCGGTGAAACTGAAGCCGCGAACGTACTATAGTGCCTTAACCCGATCCCCGTCTCGAAAATTCGATGTTGACCTGGCCCTTGCAAATTGACGGTTTCCGGCCACGAGGGTGTGGATAGGCTACTTTAACAGACTGAGGCCAGACACAAATGAATGTTACGACTAAATTACGTATTCGAGTCGGTTGGAGAGTTACACGTATCAGCTTCCGTGACGAACTGAGGATAAGAGGGCTGTAGCGGGGAACAGTGCGTTGCCCCCGAGAAGGAGTGATGAGAAAGTAGGGGGAGGGGAGATGAGAAGAGAAAAAGAATTATGGGCAAATGAGGGAAAGAGAAACGAGAGGAAAGAGAGAGAGAGAGAAGGACCGAACGGACCGAGTGAGACGCTGAGGGAGAGAGGAGAAGGAGAGAAAGAGAGAGAATGAGAGAGAGAGAAGAGAGAGAGGAGAGCGAGAGAGGAGAGAGAGAGGGGAGGAGGTAGAGACGGGAAGGAGAGAGAGAGAGAGAGGAGAGAGAGAGAGAGAGAAAGGTTCCTTGCGTATACCATAATCATACATATTTAGCGGTTTTCGAACGTCGCTAAATTTTGTGGTTTGGAAAATTTTGCAGGACAAAGCAATGGCAAAAGTCTTCTCCGCGAAGCTCTCTTTTGCTACAAATGTGACGTTTCTCTCTCTCTGAACTGTCACGCAAGTTTTTGGCAGAAAAGAGAGAGGAAAAACTATCCTTTGCTACCGAATCGCAACGGTTCAAAATTTCCCGCTCCATGGCAAGTTAATTATCAGCAGAAAAGAGGCAGTGAGAGAGGAGAGGGCGAGTAGTTTGCGCTAGCAGAGGACTACACTCGACGGATAGGGAGAGGGTAAGGCTTCTGGTCAAAGCCGTCTATTGTCAGTGGAATATGAGAGGTATGTAAACACAAGGGGACGCTGAAGGACGACGTATGGCTTCCAACTCAACTTGTAGTCTGTCAGTTTCTCCTCTTTATGGCTCTAGTTCTTTCACTTTCCCATCCCCTCCCTCCCTGCCATGGGCATTGCCCTTCCCTCCCTGCCATGGGCATTGCCCCTAGACTTACGGTTAGAGCTCCGTGGCATATGGCTTGTATCTCAACCTCTTGGAGGGGGGCCTTGTGGACTGTTGAGAGAGAGAGAGAGAGAGAGAGAGAGAGAAGACAGAGAGGAGAGATAGTGGTAGAGTCAGTGTGTAAGTGCAGAAGCTGAATGGGTGTGCATTGTACCTTCAATGATGTCGGAGGCAGAACCAAGGCAGTAGTCCATGACAAGCTGCGTTCAGGAGAGAGAGAGAGGACGTAAAAATCGAGACATAATAGAAACATATGTAGGACCCCCAACATGTGGCAATAGACAATCTCCTCTCATCCTCACTGGGGTTATTGAACCTTCTAACGTAGTGTCAACTTTGCATTTTGTTGCCCATCATATCAATACATTGACCAATTGAGTGTTACACTGTGTATCCTACTGCACTCTAGAAGTGTCAGTCTGTTGGTACGCCGCGTCTTACACTTTGTCTGCATTGACCCAGTGTTGGTCACAGACCACAGTCTGCCAGTACAAATTAATCAGCCGACCACAACTCAGCGTGAACTCCCACCAGCAGTGATTGGGGTGTTTGGTGACACGCAGCGTGTCCACACCGCCCAGGAATGTGCACAGGATACACAGACTGGGGAGGATACGACAGCAGTGTTGAGCTGGAGGGTGATTATTGAAGGGCAACGCCACACACACACACGCATGCACGATGTAGCAAACTTCTTCTGCGACTACAGTACGTGTATGGATATGATGGCTCCATGCAACAAACTGTGTCCAAGGTTGTGGGCCCTTCAACGGGATATCTGACATCACACAGTTTCGCCTACTCATTCTGTGCATGTGACTGTATATAAACATCTCGAGGTGCCAATGCCGGACTTCCTGGACACTTCCATTAATGTGCAGTTGTGAGGACAAGTGAAGCATCAGCCACCAGCTAGCGCCAGACGATGTCCCGATTAGGGGGGGGCTCACCCTTATCTGACGACTAGGAGTGCAAACACTAGTTTTGTTTATGGTCTGTGTTAGTAAAGTGAGTGGAGGGAGGAGAGTTAAATGTTTGGCTATATTATAAGGAGAGAAGGGAACGTTGGGTTTAGTTAAGATTATGCCAAAATAGCCACAAAACCTCTCGACCCAAAAAAAACGTCACAATTTGCGTGAAAGCAAATTTTAGAGTTTTGTTAACAAAGTACAGCTGGCATGCGAAGTGTGCTAAACCAAAATACTCGCGAAGTAATTTCACAAATATCGCAACATTTGCAACTGATTTTTTTTGTCGCGAAGGTTTTTAGGTACAGTATACATTATCTATATTAGGGAAATTGATATACCAAAATTTGGTGCCATGGTGTACGCTTACAGAGAGAAATGCGTAGAGAGAAATAGAAAACTGAGAGAGGGGTGGAGGAGAGATGAGAGAGAAGCATACCCAGCAGGTTTGATCCTTGAGGTAGCATCCCTTGTATCGGATACAGTTCTCGTGGTCACAGCTGTGGAGAAACTTGACCTCTCTCACAATGTCCGACCATTGCTGGGTGGTCCGCGCAGGAAGAGAGGGGGGAGGGGGGAGGGAGGAAGAAGTAAAGAAACGTAAGAACCACAGACCTATAACTCCATTTAATATACCACACACACTGACACACTGACACACACACTCTCTCACTCTCTCTGTCACACACTCTCTCACTCTCTGTTCTGTGCACTTACCTCTTGGGCCTGCTTCCCAGAGAAGTTCATCTTCTTCACCGCAACGACCTCACTCGTGACACGGTTTCTGGCCTAAAGAGGGAGAGAGATAAAGATCGACAAAAAGCCGCATTTTTCCTTTTGTGTGGGTTGTGCAGAACTCAATGTACAGTGCATGCTGTAAAGTATGGTTCTAATGGAGCTGGAATGCCAGGAATTCAATTACAGCACCACACGGGTAGACACACTATTTTATAGGCTCAAAAAGCCGCCAAGAGCAGTGTTAGGCCACATACGTACAACAAGAAATAAATTAGGAGCTTCGAAAGAAGTGTCAAAGTTTGTGTAAAGAGAGAGGGAGGGAACTGTGTACCATGGTATGTGTACGCATGCTGTGGGGGAACAAGATATGTAGTTGTGAACTGTTAAGATGGGAAGGGAGGAGGGAGGGAGGGAGGGAGGGAATGACAAGGATCAATGCATGAAGATACACACAGGCCACTGGTGTATTGTCCTCTCCTGGTGCAACACTAATAGGCAATTTCCTGTCGACAGCACAACACTGCCACTCCACAGCTCTGTCCAAGAGAGGTTAAAAGTCTTTTGTCTCCCAAACTCCCAATTGAGAAACAAAACGACTGTCTAAAACGTTCACTGTTGATTTCAGTGATCGCACATGTGCACGAAAACAGAGAAAAAGCATTCTAGAATAAAGCTCAAAATATATACCCACACAATGTGACGACCAACGATTTTGATCTCGGCATAAGTTGGTGGGCACTTATTAGAACTACACACGAGAACCTGCGTGTACGCAACGCTGTACCGGGCATGTGTACAGCAGGCGTGTGAATTAATGTTTGTCATTCGTCCAGTGGTATGCAAAACTCCAGGTGTGTGTGTGTGGATACGAGGCGGCAGGCGAAGAGAGAGAGGGAGAGAGTGTGGCTATAGTCCTCCTGGCAGAGGCTCAACTGTCCTGCACTGCTGCTGCCTCCCTCCAATTAGTACAGCCACTCCCAAACCCCTAGCAATTTATTTCCACTTCCTACCCTGTTACAGACCTCTTGCACTGCACCATGCATGTGGAGCCTCCACAAAGACCTTATACTACGTGTGCACTTCGTGTAAACGGCGACAAAGGGAGAGAGGTAGTGGAACTTACGTAGTACACGGCGCCGAAGCTCCCGTGGCCGATCTCTCGCTGGTCGATGAAGATGGCCTCCGGGTCATCGTCAAGGATGTACTGCGACAGCTCAGAGTTCTTACCGATGATAACCTTCGGTCCCTTCCCTCCTATCGGCATGGTTGGCTAGCTATGAACTCTCGCTAGTTCTCCCGCGGAGAAGAGACAGGACTACGAACGAAGCGGCGGTCGAGGAGCGTGGGGGGAGGGGAGGTAGGTGGGGGCGGGTAGTCTTAGCAGAGAGAGGTTCGTCTAAGGGTTCAAGTTGCAACTGGTGGCCTTTTCTGACTCGTCCACGACCTTTGCCTGGCGCACAAGCTCACATACTACGGCGCCACGTCTTCCACGGGGGGAAGGCGCCTCCACGAGCGGTAGTTTCACAATCCTGGTCGGGTCTCTCGGAGATCTCCGCACAGAAGACTTATCAACCGTCTGACACAATAAGCAGACCCTCGGCTGCCTTCCTGACTGGCAACAAACTCACTGTCGCAGTTCAGGGTCTTCCTAAACACAACTCAACTTCTCGAGTTTACGTTTGGCGACCGCCATCTGTATTGCGTTAATAATTTTGTCACGTGAACGTGGCACGTGGCCACGCCCATTTATATAACGAGAGTCAAAAGAACTTCACTTCTTTCTAGCTACTGTCGAAGTCTTTCTGCTAGTGTTTCTGGACTGTGGCTTGCTTTTACTGACTCGAGCCGGTCGCCTGGGCTCTGCTTTCGGGTTGTTCAGTGTATGGATTTTGTCTGCAAAACAGAACAGCTCAGTAGATATAGCTAGCTACGTCTTTCGTTTTGCACCTTTCAGTGCCGGAGACACGTGTTCTTCGTCAAGCATCGCCTCGTACTCCAACTGGTCTCCTTTTCCTGCGAAAACATCGCAGCAGAGCTAATGCTTTTTTCAACGGAGCATGCATGGACAACTTGAATACTTTGTAGTGTCAGCAAGACGTAGGACCCTCTGTCGGTGAAGTAAGGTCTTCCGTTGTCCATGTTCTCTGGAAGCTCCGTGACGTCAGTTACTGCCACTTCCCCGTGGCAGTCTAACCCCTCCCCTGCAACTGCTAGCTCTCCTGCAGGCTCAAAAATCAGTGTTGCAGGAAAAATAATCCGTAGCTCTAGCTCTTATACTGCACGATGGTGTATGCTGTGTAGCTATGCTCACGAGTTGGACAGTTGCACCTCTTCCTGATGCTGTCCACTAGCAGCTTCATGGGGCAGTCAGGGTTGAAGATACCTAGCTCATTATCTGCAATGGTACAGCAGGGGGGCAGCTCGATAAGCAATCCAACTATAAGCAGTGGGAAATATTAATTGTTACCTCCGTGTTTGATTTTTATGAACGAGTTGCACGGCTTTCTACCACCCATTTCCAGAGTTTTTCTGGCTGTACGCCCTCTAAATGTGCGCATGCGCATGAGTAGACAAAGTTCAAAGGTTCGTCGAGCGAGCGAAGGATGAGCCCGGCTATTGCCGGGCAATGTCGTCGATGCTGCAGACGTTCGCAGTGGTATTTCTCTTCTGGTTCATCCTCTTCTTGTGGACCGCGGGCTCCGTCGGTACCGCCTGCTGAGCTCCGTTTACGGCCCTCGACTGGAGGAATGGGGCGTGTCCTTGTCGTTTGCTCACGTGCGCTGCTACACAACCAAGTTCAACAGGTTCTTCCAGAAGGCGGGGACGTGGAGCAAGCACGTGAGCAGACTGTGGTTCACGGTCGGTGCTCTAGCTGGCGTCGTCCTCATGTTTTCCTCAATCATCGTCCTAATCTTCACCCTCTTCCAATCCCTCAACCTCTACCAGGACACTCGACCCGTCCTCACTCCAGTAATGCCAGGGGTTAACCTTCCCTGGAGAGACCTCTCCTACTACGTGGTCACTCTCGTAGTGTGCGGAGTGTTTCACGAGGCCGGCCACGCTTTTGCCGCCTCGCTGGAGCAAGTCAGGGTCAACGGGTTCGGTATCTTTGTCATGTTTCTCTACCCGGGTGCGTTTGTTGACTTACACTCTGATCACCTCGCCGTCATATCCCCAAAGAGACAGTTGAGGATCTACTGTGCCGGTGTGTGGCACAATGTGATTCTAGTCCTCTTCTCCATACTCCTATTATGGGCTCTGCCCCTCCTATTAGCGCCTCTGTATACGACCGGTGTGGGTGCATATGTGACATCCGTGGAGGGAGATTCAGTTCTAAGTGACAAACTGAAAGCGGGGGAGATCATCACTAAGATGAACGGGTGCCTTGTACACAGTACTCCAGACTGGTTCCAGTGTATCGAGGAACTCGGGAACAAGAACCAGCCCGGATACTGTCTGTTTTCAGAGCTACTCGACCGACAGGAGAGGTTCTTTCTTAACCAGACCACTCTGCTAGAAGACGGGGGAAGGGAGTGCTGCGACAAGGACACCCAGTCGGACATTTGTTTCCAGGTCTTCCCTACAAAGGGGCGACCCTCAATTTTCCACTGTCTGACGGCCCGTACAGTGAGCGCTAGAGAGCCTTGCCAACACTCCAGAGACTGCACTGGAGTTTTAGACTTTGCCTGCGCTTTTCCAGCAATCTCTCCGGAATCTCGTCTCGTTCGCATCTCCCACAGCGAAGGGCCGGATGTCTTATTCCTAGGTGACCCTCGATCTCTCCCCTTCTCTCTCTCAACTTCCAGCTACATCCCCAGCTCCTCCCTCTCCCCCTCCTGGCTTCCGGAGCTCCTTCAGAATCTACTCATGTACCTCGTGTCATTCTCGAGTGCACTGGCTCTCCTCAACATGGTCCCGGCCTACTATCTCGACGGGCAGTGGACGCTCACAGCTCTGGTGGAGCTCTGCTGCGAGAGCCACTTGCAGGAGAAGACACGTCGACAGATCTGTGGAGTGGTTCTAGTGACGGGGAGTGTTTTGATGGTTGTCAATATTGCCATTGCTCTCTGGACCCTCTCTATGTGGTCTTGATTACTTTCTTTCTCTGTCATCATTAGCTATGTATATTTTCTTTTCATCTGTGGATAGTCATGTTGCAGGGACCAGTCGCATCGTGTTCAATATCATGCGATAAAAATGGCAACAGCAAGTTCATATATATAATTTGATCATTGCCACTCGAAAAACTTTGACATCAAAAATGTGCCTGGTTGATTTGGTATGTAACAAAAATAGCACTGTCTCTTCCTAAAAACCGTCTGGTTTTCCACCTTTTCTTGGGTCAGAGGTCGCATGGATGTACCCACCGCTCCTGATGATGCCTTGGACGACGGCATAACTGGAGCTCACCACAACGTCGTGTCCTCTCTCCCTCAGACCTTCCTGGAACTGCTGAGGGAAGTCTTTCTCGATTCGGATGTAGTTGGGGTAGAGCTGATGGTGGAGACGAGGGTATTGTATCGCTTCGCTCAGCCCCTTGCCAAAGTCCAGTACGTCCAGAATAACCTGTAACAGCAGGGAGATTAAATCGGCTGCACTAGTCACTGACTGATTTGGTTCGTATTATGATAGTCACAACATTTAAACAAGCTTAAAAGTGTGCAAGCTTTCGTTCTAATAGCCTTTATTCTGCCAAATTCCCTTTAATCTGCACTAATGCATGAATGAGCTGCCGCCTGCCAAATTGCACATGGTGTGTGCTGTGGCTTGCCTGGGCAGCGGCTGTGGTGATCTTAGCTCCACCGGACGCTCCCACAACCATCTTCACTCGATCTCCATCCAGGAGGATTGTGGGTGTGGTAGAAGACTGAGGCCTCTTCCCTGGCTCCACGTAGTTGGGGACGGTGGGCAAGAGGTAGGTTGGATCATCTCTGGTAGGAATAGCAAAGTCGTCCATTTCATCGTTGAAAATCACACCACTTGTCTCTGAGCGAACCAGGCTGCCAAAGCTGAACAGAAATGGAACATTCTTCAATTACGGAATGGCGAGAGAGATTTTTAACCATTAGTGAAATGCTCGACAAAGACTCACTTATCACAACCACCATACATTGAGTTGCCTCACTAGTTGTTGACAGTGCTAGTGGCAGCGACTGCGTCACCATTCGGGGCCAGTACTGAGAGGTGGGAGGTTCCATGGTCAGAGGGTATGGATACCGCCATGGGCTCTCGATAGTAGCATGGATCGTGGGTAGTGTTGTCCTGGATCCTTGAGCGCATGTAGTCTGCCGTTGTATTCAGCAGCATATAGTCGACCACCTGTATGTATTATTTGTGGATCAACTACTGAAGCAAGAGTGGGTGTATACATATACCCCTTGAATAGTATCATTGAAAGCAGGGTCTCCGAGCAATAGTCTCTGGCCAAAGCCAAACTTGAAAGCCTCCACCATACGATGGTAAGCCAGGGAACCAAAATCGTCTGCCTTGAAGTCGTATCCTGCACAGCGGAAATTTGTATATAAATGAGAGAGTGCGTGTGGACTAGGCTGTTCCACAGACCTTGCAGGATGTTGAGAATGAGAGCCAGAACTGCACCACTGGACGGTGGGGGAACACCTATTATTCTCAGTCCATCAAACTCACTCTCTACAGGTTCTCGCTCTATGGCTGTGTAGTTCAGAAAATCCTCCTCTTCCAGAATGGCCCCGTTTTCCTTCAGCTCCTCCACCATCCTCTTCATGAACTGGCCATCGTAGAAGTAGCTGGCATTACCAGAGGCCCCAATGTCTCTCAGGGTCTGGGCATACTTCTTGCGATATATTGTGTCTCCTTCCTTTAGCCACACACCCTCGGGAGCCAGTAGATGCCTATTAACGAGGGGGAAAAACGATGCCTTGATGCATTTGGTTTTACTGCAACCTGCACCCAAAAGTAAGCATTGGGGACTAGGCAGTTTGCTTACTTCAAGCCGGTGTAGTTTCCCTCAATTATGGTGTTTTGCATTGCTGCGATAGCCGCTGAAATTGGAGGGGAGACTATGAAGCCTTCGTCAGCAATTTGTGCTGCAGGCTCAAACAAATCCTTCCAGGGCAGTTTCCCAAACTTCCTGTGAGCTAGCTCTAGTCCCCTCAGCTCCGCTGGAACCGCAATTGCAAGGCCACCTACAACAATGCGGAGGAAGATTGTGGACATGCCTCAACAGATAAGGAGTGCCCCCCCACTTTACCGTAGAGCGATTCCGTCTCGTTGGGACCAAATGGTGCGTACAAGGACGAGTTGGCCCTGCCGGGAGCCGTCTCGCGGTAGTCCAGAGACGTCGCAATCTTGCTTGTTGCGTTGTAGAAGACCATAAATCCGCCGCCCCCTATTCCAGTCGAGTGGAAGTTTATGACTCCGACGCAGAGGAGACTCGCGATTGCCGCATCCACTGCGCTCCCGCCGTGGCGGAGAATATCTGCACCGACCACGGAACACTGCGGAGCGTCTGTGGCGACTGCTGCGTGCTCGTAGGTCCCGCTGGACCCGCTGGACCCGCTGCTGCTTTCTTCGGAACCGATGGACTCGCTGAGGCCGTAGCCGATCCCGAGACCCAGCGCCAGAGCCACGCTCGCAGATACCAACACGGCGACGGCCAAGATGAAGCAGAATAAGCAGTTTCTTTCCACGCTATGCCGTTTGCTCCCTGCAGACAGGAGACCGTGAGATTCTTCCTTCAAGCCGCCCTTCTCCGCTACCCTCTGCTTTTGTTGTTCCATGTTTTACTAGTAAATATTCGCCTTGACTGCACCACCTTTCGGGCGTATGCGCGCGGTAGTGGACAGCAGTCACAGCACCCCCCTAGGCAAGCAAACTGAGAGAGAGACGAACTACGTACCTGCTTGGGGGAGGGGCTAGTTAGTTAGCTAGCTACACGACGTCACGTGTGCCCTGCCGCCCACGCACACAGAGTGCGCATGCGCTGCGCATGCGCGGGTGATTGCGACGTCGCGGCGATGCAGTTCGTTAGTTGGTATGCTAGCTGCACTGACAGGGTCTCTCCAGCCAAGCTTCCGCGGTCAGTAGCGCGTGCCAGACGTGCGCTGCAGCAGGCGTACCACGAACTGTCTGGTACAATGCATGGCTCCAACACGCACGACGAGGGATTGCTAAAAAACCTCTAATATCGGACCAAACATTTTGTAAACTGAAGAGAACTGTAAGATGCGGGTGTCAGTTGTTGTCTACCTCTGTCTTTTGGCTCTAGAAAGTAAGTTGTGCATTGCTAACGTAGCTACACGAGAATAAGCTAATGAAACTCTGCTCCTATGAATGCTGTAGGAGTAAAATGTGTTCCAAGCACACTCCAGCCCTCGTGTGGTACGGAGCTGGTCAGAGTAGAGCGAGGATCCACTCTGAACCTTCAGTGTGGCAGTTACTGCTCAGAGAGCAGCGAGTACACCTGGTGGAAGATGAGTGAACAAGACGAGACGAGGGTACAGCTCAGCTTCTCTGGAGCTGTCGTGACGGAGGACAAGGTTACTGAGGAGAGTGGGGGAGACTATGAATGCCAGTGTGGCAGCAGTGGACAGATATGCACCTTCTATGTAGCAGGTAAAGAGCACAAGTATGAATATACTTGCTACATGCTAGAACACGCACAACAAGTACATTTTTACAAACTTTTTTTAAAGCGGAAATGGTTTTTCTCTGACCTGCAGTTCTTCCTGAAATTACCTTCACTGCTAGTCACACCGCCACTCACTATGGTGACGTGGTCATACTCACATGCTTGGTGGAGGGAAACCCCGCTAATTTCACCACCATTACAAACTCCTATGGCATTCTCCTACAGAGTCAGGTCAAGAGAAAGATTAACTCTTTTCGACTAGAGACAACTGCCGTTGTCCACGATATCGAGGAGGAAGACTATGAATGCCAGATAGAGCTACACTACAAGGGCATCCAGTAGTACAGAAGAAACAGAGCTTGAAAATCAAACTATATGGTAAGTAGAACACTGATGTGTAACGAGGCATCTTTTAAGGTGTAGAGAGTTAAATTGGTTTATCAAGTAGTAAAATAGCCCCCACAATTGAGTCTAATTATGCACATTGCAGATCCTCCATCCATCGTGTACACGACAGAGTATGCACTGCATCGGGAGACGGAGTTTGGGAAAGGAGGCCACCTGTCATGCGTAGTTCAGACTTCTCCCGACACAGAGAGCCTCGTGACTTGGTGGGCCGGTGGGGAACTGCTGGAGGAGGAGGGAGGGAAATATCGCATGACATCGTCGGTATTGAGCAATCAGGTGACAGTGTTTCGCCTGGAGATGGAGGCAGTGGAGCAGTCAGATATCGGGCCGTACCTCTGCCAGCTCAGCTCCCAGTATAACATTGAGGAGACTCAAGAGGCATGGATAAAAGTCGACTACCGGAATGGTGTGTGTCTAAGTTTAGTAACAGATGATGCAATAAGGATTTTGTGGTAGCAACAGGAAGAGTGTATGAACCTTGGGCACTAGGTAGCACCATAGGTCAGTTCAGGTATGTATTACATCACAATATCACAGATGTCATGCACACACTACAGAAGCCAGTGTGGATGTTGATGGAGGTACAGTCACTGGTGGTGGGAGAGGCGGTGGCTCTAAATCTCTGGACCAGACGTCAGCTAGTTCTCTCCGCAGTGTGGCAGTCCTCATGTGTCTGGTGATGGTGGCAGGACTCGGGACTTGGGGGGTTCTGGTTAAGAGGAGGTCCTGGAGGAAGACGAGGGGCCAGAAATATTCAGGGATCATTGGTGGAGGGCAGGGGCCCCAAACACCCTCCATCAGACCACTGCTAGGGCAGTCTAGCTCTCTCTGTTTTCAAGAGAAAGATAGCTAGTTGATGTTTGTGTGTAGATTTCACTTTATATATATACTGTAGCCATTATGCTAATTTATGAGTGTCGCTGTCATTGTCAACAATGTGATCTTTGCAGGGACACGCGCGTGCGCAGCTTGCCGGAATTATAGTACAAAATGGGGGCGGCGGCAGGAATTACGCTAGTATATTAGACGTTGCTAATCCCGATATCGTTCGCTCGTAATTTCTGTGAAGAACAAGATGAATACGGCTACAAGACATCTCGTTGTACTTCTACTCTTTACAACAACGCTGTGGATGAGGCCTGGCGCCTCTGCAGGTATATACTTAGCTATGTAGCTGAGCTAGTGCGCTTGCATTCCTTTTATGTCGTTTTGGCGGTAACCAGCTCGTAATACTTTTATGCCCCAGCTCCCCACGAGAATGAGACGCCGTGTCTGGTTGTGATGCAGTCAGGGGAGACCCTCTGAAGCTGTCGTGCCGCGGAGTCAACGGCTGTCACCTCCATCCCGCTAGATGGGCGAACATTACCGGAGGCCGGAGCCAAGAGATCAAATCTGGTATATTATTATAGCTAGCTAGGTCTGTCCCGCACACAGTCAGTGCAGTGATCAATCATACTAGCTAGACTTAGCGCTCGAAATCTGATTGGTCCACAGTCAAGGTTGCTGATTTTTCCCGTATATAGAAACCCTGTTTTTCATGTAGATGGCATGTAGCTAGCTACAACCTCTTACTGGGTTGCACGTTGCACTATCCAAACCATGAATAATTATCACTTAGCTTTTTTCAGTTATGCTTTACATTTCCTTGGTGTAAAACATAGTTGTCATGGGTGTAGTTGTGTTGTTTTGCCTTTGCTTTGTTTTGACCTTGTTGTTGACACATGAATGCTGCAGGTATCAGTGAGACTGGAGTGTTGACCATCTCATCAGCTACTTCAGATGTCGGTGGTCAGAAATACAGGTGCACCTGCGGTGCCGAGTCCATGTGCTACGATATTCACGGTCAGTTAATCGCAGGACGATCTAGCTACCTGGCTAGCGGGGTGTCGGGTGCATGTCAAGGTGCAGGGTTCACGGCCACGTGGCGATATTTCGGAAGGTCGCGTGATGGGGATTAGGGGAAGCACCTCGGACTTCCCCGGGGAGTTTACCTTGTACCTCCAAGATCATTCTGATATCATCATATATGAAACCTGCAATAGCCGGGTGTTGGTATAATAGGAATGCACAATAGCTAGTATGGCAGGATGTATGAGGATGTATACGACTCAGCAATGTCCCATCACGTGTCTTGCAGTTCCTCCACTGGTGACCATTGAACAGAGTTCAGCGGATGTAGTTGTAGGAGGAGAGGTGGAAGTGGCTTGCTACGCAGTCGATGGCTACCCGACACCCACTGAAATTCTCCTGGTGCATCCGAGGTGGACCAAGACGGTACAGAACGGCCAGTTGTACAGTCTCAAAAACCTTGGTCTGGATGATTCTGGAAGGTTGGAGTGCATTCTGCCCAATGTTTCTGGCCAGCCCAGTGCCGTTGGACAACTGAACGTCTTCAGTGAGTAGTAACCTTGCCGTATAAGGACACTGTGGTCATTGAGCCTAAGAAATAGTTGTACACATAGCTAATTACCTACTTATTGGCCTGTGTAGCTAATGTACCTACTTATTGGGAGTGAGCCATGCACTTATGCTCAAGTGGACGTGAATAACTGTGTGCATTTTTTCATCTTTCAGACAAACCACAACTCGTGAATACCACTGATGCTGTTGTGAGTTTCGATCGACAGACTGAAGGCAGACTAGCTACACTGTCGTGCAGCGTGCTGAAGAACCAGTGCAGAACCGTTGTCATGTTCTCCAAGGAAGGCTCCCCGGTTAAGTTGGACAACAGCAGATACACCCAATACGATAGGGTGTCTCACGATAGCCTTGTCAGCTTCCTGATTATCGGAGGAGTGGGCCCTGAAGACATTGGCCATTACGAATGCCTCTTGTATGCCAACTATTCCACACTCATTCCAGTGGCCACCCAGGGTCTGGAGGTGCTCTCTCTATCACCTCCCCCTCAACCAACAACTCCTTCTACAGGTAACTATAGATGGCCGGGAAATTTCATATAATGCAGTGGGTGGGTAATTATAGTACCAGCTGGACAGACACACATAATGCCCCGAGTTACATGCCATGGCAACTCTAGTAATACAAGAATACTCATGAATAAAGGGATATAATACCTTGAGGACATTGTTGGTGTATGAGGCACTAATGTACAGTGTATTACTATGACCAAGTGCCCTTTATGAAGAGGTTTCACTCTCTATCGTTTATCTGCACATCATTATAGGAGGGTCAACCCCATTGGAGTGTACTAATGGAGACAACCAAGTTGTTGTGGGACTGGCTGTGGCACTGGCACTGGTGGTGGTACTCAGCCTCATCATCATTGCCGTACTAGCCCTCTGCCTCTTCCACAACAAACGATCGACCACCACCCATGCCAGCAAAGCAAGTAGCACCACTACGCTGTAAAGAAAGACCATTTTAAAATCTCAATTTTCCCTCACCCGACATTGTTTTCAAGCACACTGTCCATATTATTATATCAGCCGGTATCAAGCTAATATCACTTCATGTATTATTATATCATCAAGAAGCCACCCCAATTTATACATTTTGAACAGAGTAAGGAGTCGGTCATCTATATTATAATAGTTTTGTCAAATTTCTTCAATATTATGATCATTTATCACTCGGTAAAAAATATTTATTGTCAATCTGATGAATCGCTATCGTTGGGGAGAGTCTGTTCGGAGACTCTGTGTCTGACGCTGTCTCTCTCTACATCATCATCTGGTTCCCTGGATCTCACCACCAGTCCCACTTCATCCCCATACTCTTTCACTCCCTGTTCTACAACCGCTGAATAATAGATCAGAGATATGAATAAAATATTGCAAACACATTAAAGTATGTAGAAAGGGCACATGACACACAGTATAAAGTTAAACAGAGCATGTTGGTGTTTCAAAATTATTTGAAACTCTATAATTATGTTTGCAACCGTCTGAATGCAAGCATGCATGTTGATAAAAAAGCTGACCTGGCTGCCTTGTCCTGTGGAGTATGACTGCGAATGCTATGGCAGCAATCACTGCTCCAGAGATGGTGACCCACATGAACCCAGCCACCAGACTAGTGTTCACTGTGGTAGATGTCCTGTCTTTGTCAGGACCGGGAGGCAGTCTCACTGGCGTGGGAGCAGCTGGAGGTAAGACAGCAGCTTTTTTTTTACATACACAGTGGTATAATAATATATCACAGAGTCTTAGCCTGTGGACTGTAGCTCACCTCCACCTGTGTTAGGAAAGAAAGAAGGTTGTGTAGTAAAGTGAATACATTCTTGTATAGAATTTTGTAGGTATATATATAACTGGGGTGCAGGTTGACTGTCTTAGTAGGGTCCCCACCACGGTAAAATTGAGTCGAAATGTACAAGGTTTTGTTTCACATCCATAACCCGTGGTACACACCAGGGTAAGTGATGGTGACTGTTTCCTTGTCTGGAGCATCCCTCAGAGGAGATCTCAGGACGCAGAAATACCTCCCCAAGTCTCTCACACCAGGATTGGCCACCGACAACACGTGTACCAATCCCTCGTCCTCCGTACTGATGCTGAATCTAGAGTCTCTCGTGTCGATCTCCTCTCCCTCAAAGTACCACGAGACGGAGCAGGTGGTGGAGACCCGACAGCAGTCAATCTCACACTTGAGGTCCAACTGAGGCCCCTCCAGAGACGAGGCTTGGTAGAGACGCACCAATGACGGAACATCTAGTGAATATGGCGGAAGGTTTACAATACAGTCCTTGAAACCTCCGCATAAAGTGTGGAGGTATCCCTTTTTCAATAACACATGAATGTTTAGTATGGGGCAAAACCAAGCACCCTTTATAGAGAGGTGTCTTTTACTCAGATCAGAGGTTCCTGTGCAAAACAAAACCGAGTGAGGAATAAGAGCGCTCACTGCATATTGAGAGTTGCTGTGAAGCAGTTTCGAGGTAGGGGACAATCTTATTATCTGCACTGTCCAGCCAAATGGTACCATTACAGGTAAAGTGACCAGTTTGCTGAGTGTCGGTTGTCCAGTTGCACACCACCACAGTCGAGTACCAACTCCGGACTATCTCTCTACAGTGGTGAGCCACAGACAGACTGTCGTTAGCTCCAGAGGGAGGAGGGGAGATGGATATGCTGATGTTGGGGTAGCCACGGGCCTCGCAGATCAGAGAGAGGCGAGCCCCGGGAACTGCGATGGTCTCGTCCTCGTGTGTCCAGCCCTGACTAGCTGTGATGGTCATATTCACAACTGGCTGGTCTATTAAAGGGTGGGAGAATATACATTACTAATAGCTTTTTATTTCAGCAACCTCGTTTTGGGACAAAGAGTGGGAGGACTTGTAAGAAATTGAATTTGGGCCAACAATTAGTTGGTCAAGAATATAGACTCACAGGCCACTCCCCAGCAGCAGCCGTCCCTAGCCGGGTCCTCCTCCTCCTCACACGCGCAGCAGAAGTAGCCGACGCTACCCTGACTCGGGGTCTCTCTCACGGCGGCCTCGTGGCTGGATCCGCTCCACGCCAGCAGATCGAGGCCCCCTCCCGCGGCCGCCGTAGCCGTTTTCTTCACGTACGAATGGTACCACAGCGTCTCCCCGGAGCTACAGTTCTTGGGGCAGGCTAGGGTGACGGATTCTCCGGGAGGCTTTAGGTATTGGTAGTGTGCGTCGGACAGGTTGCGACACGAAAACAGATCTGAGAAGTTAGGTGTGTTTCTGGGTAAATGCGACGCTAAAGACAACCTCCATTTATGAAACAGACATACCCTCGGTTAGGCTGCCTACAAAACACAGGGAGTGGCTCAGCCAGAACAGAACCGACCACAAAACCGTCGAAGGTAGTTTTCCCATCATCATCGTTGACTTATGGGCGCTAAATAAATACGCGCTTACCCCCCTGATTATAGTGTGCGCGAAGAACTTTTATGCCAAACCTTATGTACAATGCTTCTGTGAAAGAGAAGCAACAGACCAGGGACCTGCAACTAGTTCCTACTAATTATCATAATACTCGACGACCCTGAAAACATGCTCTCAGTTCATTCTATTTCTCAGAGCCTTGGCCAGGTCAGGTGCTGCACTGCCAAGCTCAGCTTCCCTCATTCCCAGGATGAGTTTACGCCAGGTGTGGTTCTCTTCTTTCTCCATCCAGGTTGTCAGCATTCTGTCAGTGCAAGCATCATCCTGGTAGTGGTTACTATTCCTAATAGTGTCTTTTACAGGATCAAGAAATCCCAAAAGTGATGCCAAATCTCCCCACTTTGGAGCAATTTGTTTCTTGATTCGGAGTTTTTTTTCAACACCATTGTCGTTATACTTGATGAGTATGAGATAACCACCTGTCACTTGCTCATCTGAAGGGAAATAATAAAGTATAGACATTGTGTGCACAGGCAGAGACTATAGCTAAAACACTTGCCAAAGACAGCGTCGTCCAGGGGATCAACTTTCTTTGTGGGCGTTGGCCTTGGAGGAGAAAAACAATCAGTAAGAAGAAAAAAACACCATTTTAAATTGGCTTACGGACAGTGGCTTGTGAAAAATTGGTGGTATGATGCCGCTCGGTGCTTGAAGGATCAATTTCTTGTTCCTCTACAGACAGACAGACAGACAGTGTTTTGCCGTGAGATTTAAATTATAGCTCTTTACCAAACTTTGCTGCTGGGGCAGGGTTTGTGTTGGAGGGTAGAGTGCGTTTGGGAGTACTCCTTTTCTGTGCTGGAGATGGAGAGGAAAAGTAGCTACATATGGAGTTAATAATAATTACCTCTGGAGCTAATAGTAATTACCTCTGGTGCAACGACGTAAAAGAACCCCAAAAAACCACCCCCGCCGCTGCTAGTCCTGCCACCATATACCATGGTGACTCCAGTGCCTTATCCATGAAAGTGAATTGCGGTTGTGACTGAGACTCGGGGCCTGTATAAATATAGACATGCTATCATAATTTTACATTACACTCTTGTGGTAGCATTAGCTACCTTTACATAAAAATCTAGCTACAAATAGTTATTCGTATGGATGGAAAAAAATTTTTCAAAGGTCATCGTGGTGCGGTGCTTGCTCGCCATTGCTTGGTTCTCCTTCACTATTCCTGGCATGTGGCTGTTTTGATACTCTTTCACTATGTGGTCGCTCATTACCTGTGTATGAGGATGGATTAAAAAAATGGCTGGGAGAAAATTTACCTGTGCTCTGCCCCGGCTGGAAACATATTTTTTATGATGTTGGCCTGTTTCTTGTGCCCCATCGACTCCAGCGCCTGCGCAATATTCTCTGCCACTACCTCTACTGCTAGTCCACTAGCGTCACAGTACTTCTGTACGAGACTTCGCCTGTGGCACTTAGCCTCGTTATCTCTACAGTTTGAGCTGATCGCGTTTTGATCCCCAATCTTGATGTCCAGCTCCGAAGCCAGCCCCTTCCAATCCTGGACCTCCAATAACACGTCAGCTATCCTGTTTACGTCCTTGCCTGCAGCATGGTAGACATTACAAGGGCGTATCTCGTTTTCAGCGCGTCACGCGGGCGCCGTCGTCTCACTTGTGCAGGCTAGCACCCTCAGCAGTGAGGGTATCAGGAGAAGACTGTAGAAAAGAAGCACAGGACGACGCGCCATTTCCCCCCAGATTTTCAGGGGTGTATCGACCGCAGCGACCCGCCCATGCATGATGCATAATTCATGATACCAAAAGCGATGGAGTATCTACAGTAACAAGCAGAGCAGAGTAATAACCACCAGCAGAGCAGTAGTGGCAGTACCAATAAGGAAGTGTTGGGGAGTCACACCACCAGTGTAGTACTGTATGTCATCAGAGATGATGTGGAAGAAGAAAGACTGGCTGGTTTGTTGTTGGGCTGGAGTTGTTATCTATAGTCGATAGCAAACCAGTATATTCTCTGAATTACGTAGCTATGTTACTGCTAATACTTTCACATGCTTCCGATTTTCGGACAATAACTGCACCAGTAAAAATTAGGAAGAGATCTGTAAGCTTCATGCTGTTCTGACTGCGGACGAGGAAACCCCAGTGCAGAAAGTACGTACAGCGTGCGCGCGTGTCGCGAGATCTACGCATGCGCAAACAATTACGACTAGAGCCGAAATTATGCGAAATTCGCTCTGCTCGCGTGTAATATTGAAATACCTGCTCGGGTCGAGCGAGCTCATCAGCCGAAGCATGGCGGTGCAGGGCGATGTGGAGGGGGAAGAAATGCTGGCCGAGTGGTCCCGAGACCTGGAAGCGGTCCTCTACGAGCAAGAGGTTGAGGAAGCCATCAGAGAGGTCTGTCCTCCATTCACCACGGCTCCTCTTGAATCGTTTCTCCTTTCATCCCGTCGTGCAGGTGTGCCCCACGTCCGACCCACTAGACAGCAAAGACTTCGACGCCATTGACTACATCAACCAGCTTTTCCCCACAGAGCAAGTAAGTATGTACCAACCTCCATACAACATTCACCTTGCTCTGATCTACATTACATTGACTGTGTATTGAGTACTTTCTAGGAAATTATGCAATTTGGTAGGAAAATTGCTTGTCCTACGACCATATGCAAATTGCCACGAGCACAAAATATCGTTGATGAAAATTTCATGAATAGATCATGAATATTAATTGCAAGGTCTTTTTTATCCCTTGATGTTTCTGTAATCTCTCCCCTTCTTCTCTGTATGTGTCAGTCTCTGGCAGGTATAGACGACACCATGACTAGGATGAAGGTCAAAGTCCAAGGTCTGGACGAGGAGATCCGGACCATAGTCAGAGGTCAGGCTGACATGGGTCATGACGGGAGACAGGCCCTGGAGGAGGTACATACACACATATTATATACATACAGCCACACCCACTCACAATACACACCATCATTACACCAACAAGTCAGATCACATGTTCTAACTGAGAACTGTATAAAGTATTGTGTGGCAGTGTGTTATGTACTAACAGGCTCACCGGACAATAGAGGAGTTGTTTGGGAGGATCAAGAACATCAAGGAGAAGGCCGAGCATTCAGAGCACATGGTATTGACTCGTCACACAATACGCATCATGGGGGGCATAGGGGACAAATTGCTACACTGAATGTTCATCAACACAATCATCTAAACCCCTGCATTTGAAGCAAAACCCCCCTCCCAAATGTTCTTTAAAATCCCTGCGCGTAGGGTTTACAATCATCGAAAGTCGTGTGTGTGCGTGTTGCTAGGTGAAGAAGATCACCAGTGATATAAAGCAGCTGGACAACGCCAAGCGCCACCTGACGGACTCAGTCAGAACTCTGGAGCGACTCCGGTTCCTCATCACCTGTCTCGAAGACCTGCAGTGAGCAAATACGCACATCTCGCTCTCTTTTCTCTCCTACTTCATTTGGGAGTAAAATTTTAATAGGTCCAACTACAATTTTTGCCCCTGAAACAGGGAATTTTTTGCATCTAGTATTATTTTACGCTCTGTGGAATGCTGACTAATTTTCAGGAGAAACTTCCGACAGAGGAACTATGCTGAGGTGTCCACTCAACTCCACGGAGCAGTGGGCGTGGTCGAGGAGTTCAAGGAATACAAGAACATTCCTCAAGTCAGAGAGCTCATGGCCAGGTCTCTCTCTTCTCTCTTTTTTTTCTTCCCGTCTTCCTCCTCACTCTCCCACCTCCATCCTCTTCTTGCTTCATCTTCTCCACCAATTTTATTTTTTCTTTGTGACCCAGATAGAGGGACAACCCTCCCCTCTTTATCAATCTCTTCTCTTCCTTCCCTCCCCTTACGCTCCACTTCTCCCTCTCTTTTTCTGATATTCCTTTCTCTTCTCTCTTCTCTTTTTCCGTCCACTGAAGTATACAGTTGCTCTATACAGTATCATTTGCTGTAGATTATGGTTTATACTGAATTTGCTGTAGACTATGGTATATACTGAATTTGCTGTAGACTATGGTATATACTGAATTTGCTGTAGGTTGCAGTCAATACAGGTGGACCTCGGTCAACAGATAAAGGTTGATTTCGAGCGAGCATTCTCCACCAAGGGAACACCAGTAAGTTGCCAATGGCAGACCTCACACTACGGAATGTATGTGACCGTCCGTCTATCATAATGCATTGGTGTGCAGAAGGGACAAAGGCAGAGCTACATGACGCCTGTCTGGTGATGGAGACACTAGGAGGACCTGCAAAGTGAGCATTAATAAAGCCCCAGTTACACAGACACTTCAAGTTCATAAAAATGTTTTCTAGACACTTACATGAAAGCGGTTTACGAATCAGTTTAAAGTTTATGTCCGTAAAAATTTAATAATGGCTCAGATTTTCTTGCTCTTTAATTAACCCTCTGCTCACTGTATTTTTCTCCTGTCTCCGTAGAGACAGTCTCATCCAGTGGTTTGTGAGGCTACAGTTGTCGGACTACGAGGTGATGTATCACGAAAGCCTCGAGGTCGCCTGGCTTGACAAGGTTAGACTCCCTTCCTCTGCCGGGGAGGGGAGGTTAACTATCAGAGAGTCAGCTTCCCCTATCGCCTCTGAACTTTGTTCTTTCCCCCTATCTCACCCGAAACTCTCTTCTTTCCCCCATCTCACTCAGAAAGATCCTATATCGCTCCAAACTTCTTCTTTCCCCCTATCTCACTCAGAAAGATCCTATATCGCTCCAAACTTTCTTCTTTCCCCCTATCTCACTCAGAAATATCCCACTGTATATCGCTCCATACTTTACTATCTCGTGTCATGATGTATTGATTATCTGCTCATACAGTGTATATGTATACTTTCCCCGCAGGTGGATCGACGCTATGCGTGGCTGCGTCGAACTCTAGTCACTTACGAAGAGGAATGCTCCAGTATATTCCCCAGTGACTGGGGCATCTCCGAGAGAGTGGCCATCGAATTCTGCAACAGTACAAGGTCCGTATGTACGTCCAACTAACACTTAGCAAAAGGAAAGAGACGTGTATATATTATAGTCCCATGCTACTGGTACCGTGCCCATACTTTGCTTGAAACAAAAACTTGCAGTGCAATAACAAAAGGTTCTCATTTTTGCAGCCATGCACATTTTGGTTTGTAACTACTTACTGATGCATTGGTTTGTTGCCATGGCTGCAGAGAAGCACTGACCAATCAGATGAGCTCGAAGGCCGGGTCACTGGACGTCAAGTTGCTCCTCTACGCCATCCAGAAGACGACCTCGTTTGAGAAGACACTGGCACAGCGCTTCATGCAGAGCTCCTTCATGGAGGAGGTGAGGAGAGAGGGGAGAGGAGAGAGGTTGGGGGAGGTTGATTGTTTACACTCTCACTCAGGGTTGACCTGAATTGAAGATCGATGCATGTTAGGATCGGTCTGCACTTTGTAAAAGGCTTGAGTAATTCCTTATAATGTGACAGGAGACCAATTTCTACAGTTAGCTTGTTTCAATCCACGTTGTGAAGATCGTGTGGTTTAGGAAAGCAGTGTGAAAATGGTGCTCTGTGTGTGTGTTGTGTGTGTTTTTCTCCAGAAATATCCATCCCGTCAGTTCAAGACTCTGCCAACAGAAGTGGGGGAGAGGAGGAGGAGGAGGAGGAAGAGGTCACATAGGGTTAATCTCTTCATCTGTAACCCTCTCCAACTTTCTTTTCTCACCCCGTGCCGTTTTTAGTTCTATCTCTCCTCCTATTCATCTTCTCCGTGCAGGAGGTGGGAGGAAGAAGAAAGAGAAGAAGGATGTTCTCTGTGTTTCACAGAATGATTTCTCGCTGTTTTGAGCCTCATCTCAACGTCTACATCACCTCTCAGGACAAGTGAGTCTATAGCTACAGATGTACATAGTGGTTGTACTGTTGTGTGTTTCTGTATGTTAACCAAAACCGGTTTGACTGGTTCCCAGAAACCTGTCTGACCTGATCGAGAACTTTGTCTCCGACACCAAGTCTCGTGGGCGTGTCCTCGGAGCCGGGGAGGGGGGCGGGGCTGTATTGCCGAGTGCCTCGGATCTCTTCATCTTCTACAAGAAGTGTCTCGTTCAGTGTGTGTCTCTGTCGACGGGGCCAGCCCTCCTGGACCTGACTGAGCTGTTCAGACGATACCTCAGAGAGTACAGCTCCAAGATACTCTCTACTTCCCTCCCCAAGTGAGCTTGGGGGCGTGGTCTTTCTCATTGTTTACTGAGACGTTTAGGTCACATGTTTTAAGAAAGGTCATTTTAATACAAGAAAAACGTTAATGAATATAATTATGTTGATGTACAAATGGATCCCCATCCAAAAAGATAGAACTTTGAGAAGTTCTTGACCTCCTGTCTTTGTTCCTCTTTGTCCTCCCCCCTCTCCCCCCTCTCTCTATCCTCCTCTACGTATCTCACAGAGTGAGCAGCAGCGGCAGTGGCACGAAGCTGACCCTCTCTCTGAGGAAGGAGACGATCCCAGACAACAGTCTGAGTAGAGAGGACCTCGCGACGACCTGCGTTCTCCTCTGTACCGCTGACTACTGCCTCGACACAACCTCACAGGCTAGTTAGAGCCGCACTCTCCACTCCTTCAGTGTTTTACCATGACATTCAGAGGCGTACATCTTCATACGCACGGGGGGCCCTGGTTTCACCTTGTGACACAGTGTGCAGTGTAGTTTCAGACTATTCGTGTTTTCCGTTATAGTGGTTTGGTGTTCGTTTTTAGTTGGAGACTAAGTTGAAAGAGAAGATTGATTCGAGTCTCGTGGAGAAGGTAGACTTCTCTCAGGAGCAAGAGAACTTCCACAGGTATGTGTGTATATACGTCTGCTGACTCAGTATGAGTGCCGTCCTGTTGGTCTATTGGTTGTACTACTGCATCGTCCTATTGGTCTCAGTTGTATTACTGCATCGTCCTATTAGTCTCAGTTGTATTACTGCATCGTCTATTGGTTGTACTACTGCATCGTCCTATTGGTCTCAGTTGTAGTACTGCATCGTCCTATTGGTCTCAGTTGTAGTACTGCATCGTCCTATTGGTCTCAGTTGTATTACTGCATCGTCCTATTGGTCTCGGTTGTAGTACTGCATCGTCCTATTGGTCTCGGTTGTATTACTGCATCGTCCTATTGGTCTCAGTTGTATTATTGCATCGCCCTATTGGTCTCGGTTGTAGTACTGCATCGTCCTATTGGTCTCAGTTGTATTACTGCATCGTCCCCCTCCCCAGTCTCATCAGCAGCTGTACTCAGCTACTGGTGCAGGATATGGAGAACGCTTGCACTGTCGCTTTCTCTGCCATGGTCAAGGTACAGGTTGACCCTCCCTCTCTCTTCTCTCTCTCTCTATCCTAATCCCTTCTCTGTTTCTTCTCTGTCCCTAACTCATTCACTTCTCTCCCCACCACTTGCTTGCCTTATCTCCTGTACAAACACGTCCTCTTTCCTCCCTCTCCTCTCTCCCCTCTCTCCCTCTTTCCTCTCTCTCCCTCTCCTTTTTCTGTTCCTCTTCTCTCCTCCCACACCCCCTTGAGTCACATGTACACTGTTCTCACACACACACACATACATACGTGGAATCCCCAGGTACCGTGGCAGGCACTGGAGGCCGTGGGAGACCAAAGTGCCTACGTCTCGTCAATAGTGGCCCACGTTCGCAGCACCATACCCCTCATCAGAGAGAACCTCACTCCGGCTCGAAAATACTTTGTCAATTTCTGCCACAAACTTGCAAAGTGCGTTCCCAATCGCACTGCTCATGAAATTTCATCTGTTGTGTGACCCAGCCTAGCGAGGAATGAATTTTAGTCATAACCAGCATCCCTTGTTCTCTCCCTAAAGTGCCGTTATTCCGACTTTCATAACACACTTGTACAAGTGCAAACCAATAAGCACAATTGCTGCCGAGCAGGTGAGTGAGGGAAACTGTCTCGATAAAGGTGTCTTATCCTCCCACCTCTCTCTCTCTCTCTCTCTCTCTCCTTCATTGTTGGCAGCTGCTACTAGACAGCCATTCGCTCAAGACGATACTGCTAGAACTCCCTTCAGTGGGAGCAGCCGTTGCTAAGAAGCCACCTGCCTCGTGAGTGTCGTCGTAACCACGACAACAGTAGGAAACAGTGGTCGTCTCTTTAAATCACATGGTCTTTGTGAAAGAATAGGTTGCCTATTAGAGAGGTGTCCGAGTGGTTCCACTCACTTCTCCATTTAACCCCCTTATCACAGTAAACTCTCTCCTCCCTCTCATCGCAGTTACTCCAAGCTGGTCCAGAAGGGGATGGAGAAGGCAGAGCTCATTATCAAAGTGGTGATGGCACCTCACGAGCATGCAGAGGAGTTCCTCTCCTCCTACAGCAAGCTGATGGTTGGAGACACGGACGTAGCCAACTTCCAGAAAGTTCTAGAGATGAAGGTATGAATGATGGATTCTCAGCACAAGGCTAGATGAACTTAGAGAGGAACTCTATATACTCAGGGCAACAATTACGCCAGCTGCTCTTAGTCTTGGCAGGGCCTAAGACAACACACGCCTCTCTTTACTGCATAATTTAGGCAGAACGCTCTTTACTGCTGAGCTATCTGGTGCATTTTTTGCAGCTGCATTGCCTCTCGCCACGCTATTGCTCATTTCCCCAGGGCCTGAAGAGAAGCGAACAGCACACTCTGATCGATCTCTTCAAGACAAGGGTGGCGTCGGCAGTGGGCGGGGCTGACCACACCCGGGCCCACCACACAGACAAATTAATTCAGCCAATCAAGAAACTGGAAAAATGATGAGATTTTAGCAGAGGTCATCACTTGCTATCATAGGAGATTTAGTGTTTGTCGTTTTTTTCACGGAAAAAATATATTTCTTCTTTAAAAAATCACGGAAAATTGTGACAATTAATAAAATGGTGACTATTGATCTGTGACAAAATTTCTGGGATGCACTTAACAATAACTTGACAAAAAGAAGTTGGTGGTAACGGTCTGCATGTGTGTGTGTGTGGTGTTGGTCATAAAAACATGACGTTAAATAGATCGGAAACAATGGGATGATGATGATAATTTATATCACACACAAGTGATAATGAGAGGGTCAAACTTCTTGAGAGAAGAGGGAGGGAGGGGGACCTGCCCCGGTTCATGAAGAGAAGAGGGGTATATAGGTGGAAGAGAGGGAGGGAGGGAGGAGCCAAGCTACCAGTCCAAGATTCCGGGACAGTACTTATCAATGAGTGTTTGGTAGTAGGGTACCAGAGCATCCACATCTGGTTCGACATCTGCCTTGGAGTACAGGTCAAACTTACTGTGAGTAAAGACAATGGAGTAGTAGTGATAAAGACAGATGGAACCTCCTAAAACAATGCAACTCTGTGTGTACTGGTGGAACCCCTTGCATCTCCAGACACCATCACCACAGGGTTATTTGGGGGCTAAATGGGGGCTTAAATTCCACGCAAGAAACAGTTTTTTGGTGAAAGAAAGGGTGTCTTTTGAGAGGTGTCCTAATTATAGGGGTGTCCCTAGAGAAAGGTTCCACTCTAAAAACATTACAGATGCACTTTCTGTTGACACCCCACTATTCACAGTTAGTTTACCAAATCTTAATGTATATACAGATGATGGACGCAACTGGCAGCAACCATGTAAGGTAAAATTATGGCCTCGGTGTGTGTGCAGTCGTGAATACCACAGGTCTCGTGTACTTTACCCATCGACTATATACCTCTGGAATATCTGGAACTAGGTGGCTCGAGTTCATGCACTAACGTGTGTCTACAAGACACTGAATACCAGCATACCTTACAAAGGACGCTCAATTTTGACTGACACATGATCCTGATTTTATTATGTACATCATACCGTAATGCAAAATGTAATCCACTCATACTTGTGATTTCACTCACCCAAAACGGATTTGTTTACGTAAATGTCCGATATCATAGTTGAGGCTTACTTGAACTCCAGGACCCATGGCAGCTGGTTGAGGTCCTCTTCGCTGCAGAGGTGGTTGTAGGCCTTGGCCGTGTGCCACGGGTAAAACGAGTGGAACCGGATGATGTAGAGAGCAGCCGGTGGTAGCGTGGCGCCGTTCCGTACCAGAGCCTGGTATAGGTACTCGTCGTGTCCAAATGACATCATCACGTTGTTCAGACCACAGTTTGGCTGGTATATTCCATACTTGGTGCTGTGGATGGAAGCATTTCCTCTTTCACAATACCTCAGCTATAGCCATAGAGCTATTCACAAGGTGATAATTGCATAGCAGTGGTGTGTTCCTCTATCACATGATTCACTTCCTGTCACATGGTACACCACACCCCTCTGACACCCCTGCTTGCACACTACAGCTATTCACAAGGTGATGGATGATCACATAGCAGTGGTGCTTGTGTGTTCCTCTATCACATGATTCACTTCCTGTCACAAGGTACACCACGCCCCTCTGACACCCTCTGCACACTAGCAATGTATGTATGTATGTATGACCTTCGTAAACCAACAAGATCTCTACTCCCTGCTAGTGGTGGTTTACAGTAATGAGCATAGCAAGCTGGCATATACAGTTCCGGGAAAGAGAAGTTGAACAAACCGTTGCACTGGGGAAGAGAGCTGACCTGTAGACAGGGTGGGAGAAATCGGGATTCTCCTGAAACTGCTCCGGGAAGACGCACTCCTTGGCAAAGGCACAGCCGACTGGGAAGGTGTCTCCCACGGCGGCCCACTGAGGTTCCCCCCACAGAGCCAGCAGCTTCCCCACATCGTGGATCAGTCCCGTCAGCTGGAACCAGTCTGGCAGGAACGAGAGGGGTGGCGTAATGATTGCTTGGATTAGCAGTATAAATGTGTAAGTAGTTGGCTATATCTGGCTCCAGGCACAGCGCACATAAAGTGGATTTCTGTGTCTGGATTAGAGGGGTTCTATATACTAATCGAATTCCCCACAAAATCATTGAAACTCCTCAAATTTCCCACAGGCAGTTCAGCTATGTGTACAGAGGTTGAGAAAGTGCGAGAGATTAACCTTTGTCGGGATGGACTTGTCTTATCCTCTCGGCAGTTTGGAAGAGATGAAAGGAGTTTGGCTCGGAAGTCTGTCAAAAAAGAGGGATTATGTCATTCAAGGTCTAAGGCACATAATTATTATAATGCCATGCATCACGTGGTATTTTCTACATGCTTTGCAGGTTCAGGACATGTTGGTACTGCTCAGTGGTAAAAACTTACGTCAGGATCCGATTCATCGATGAGGTTATTGAGAGCGAAAATAGCTTCCATCATAGTCATCTTGGCCTTTCCCCCGCTGTACTTCGCCCTCTGGATTGACAGAAACGACAACGGAAAGTTATACACGCACGTGTGGGCGGCTATCAGGGATACTGCGAGCCAAGTTCGAGAGAGCTTACCATTTCTCTTCCAAACTGCATCGTCTGATTCTTGTGCATCTCGGCGTATGTCTTCCGGACGATGTCGAACCTCTCGCCGCTCTCCTGCCGAAAAAAATATTTTTAATTATAGCGCATCGGAACGGCGGAACGAAAAGATACGCTTCGCGTTCGAGTGAGTGCGCAAACCTCGTAGTAAACTCGAAAGTCGTCTTTTTGCTTTCCGAGGTCTTCCAGAGGTCCTCCCGGTGCGAGCTCGGGCCTGAATTCGGACGGATCTTCCACGGGCCACGAGACCCGCTCGGTACACGCCGGCGAAGTGCCGTCACCCGCCGGTTTCCCCGACGCGGCGTTTTGCCGAGCGATCTTGGCCTCTCCGGCGGCCACAGCAGCTAGCAGTTCACCTCCCATCGTTTCTTAGTGGTGTAGTTCTTGATAAATTGCAGCTGCTCAATCGGTTAACGGAGGAGCTAGATTTGAGAGCGTGCTGAAGTAAACGTGTGTATAACTGCACAGGGACGCCTGTTTTTGTCTGTTTTAGACCGGATAACAAGTCTTGCATGCAGGATAAGAGCCTGGATATGTGTGAAACAGGTTTACATAAAAGTATACCTTTTCCGGCGTACTTCACAAAGAACAGGTTTACTGACGCACACGGCGCGTCACGCCCACCCCAAACGGAATGTAGACCACGACGACGCGACGCAGGATCTAGGGAACCGGGGATTGGGGGTTTGGGGACGTATAATATTTTTCGTAGTCCGTGTAAAATTGATGCATGGTCATTGCGCATGCGTATAAAAACCAGACGTAAACAAGAAGAGAGAAAAACGGCAATGGTAGACTTTCACAGCTTTTCGCTTTTGTTTAAGAGTAAACCTGGGATAATGGATTAGTCGAGGAGAGGGAAACAAGTGATGGGTCTTGTGGACTCCTTCGCATCCCAAACGCGTGGTAGCCTCGTTCCCACGACCGTCCTTCCGCGTAGCGTCGCTCGCGCGGCAACCCAGGTAGGTGTATACGACTTACCCGGCTGCCTGTCTCCATTCCTTCCATGTATAGGATAGCGCTGACCCTCTGCAGCTATATGTCTGTTGTTACCCGTCCCCCTCCCTCTTTCCTGCAGCGCTCCAGCCGGCAGCGCCAGTGATGGCTTACCGCCACCACTACCGGGCGGGCGGCGGGCAGCTTCAGGCCCTGCTGGACTATGAGTACTCGCCGGGGAACCTCATCGGCCACGGAGCCTTCGCTCTCGTCTTCAAAGGCAGGAAGAAGAAGGTGAATGTGAGAAGCGCGTGCATGGCTGGAGGTGTAAATTAGTGAAAATTTGTCTTTGGACGCCTGATAAGGTTTGACTATGGTGGAGCCGTGATATTGTAGAAAGACATGCCAACACGTCCATTTGGCATTGGTTGGGATGCAGCTGATAAGACCAGTCGCCACACCCGCTCTCTGTACCTCCATCATGTCACATGGCGTACAAATGTGACGTGGAGCTCATTCTCAAGGCTAAGTCATCGCTCTTGCATCATCGATAGAGCTCTCAGTGTGTGCTGGCTGCATGTGTTCGAGGTGTGCATGCAAAGGGAGTGCCAGTAGGAAAAGCCATTGTTGGAATTCCATCCTCTGCCTTTCTTCGGAATTGTTTAGGTCTGAGGAGAATCCTACAACTAGGATTTCAGCAGCATCTTTTGATATCCCTCCTCGTCTTCTCCCTCTCTTTCTCCCCTCTCCCTCTCCTCCCTTACTCTCTCCTTCTCTTCTTTCTCCTCCCTTCTCCCTCTCTCTCTCCCCTCTCCTTCTCTTGTTTCTCCCCTCTCCCTCTCCCCCCTTCCTCTCTCTTCTCCCTCTCTCCTCTCTCTTAAACTGCACCACTTGCCATGTTTTCACGCCAGTATATAGTGTATCTGCATGTATCTCAGACCAAATTCACACCCACATACCAACTTGGTCTATGGTGTGGTGGCTAAATTCATGAAGACTTGGATAGCAAAGTCATTGGAGGACACACAGTGTAAAGTTACCCGGTCCCACCTGAATATTCTTACATTTGCTTCTCCTATTGAATTGTTGTGTACTTGTGATTCTGCAAGGGTTTTACTGAACGGAGGTCTATTAGTTTAAGTAATTTACATTTCTGGTGTGTTCATTTGCATGCCACTGATGTATGGGTTGACCTGGTCGATGGTGCCAGCTATGTTTGAACTACCGTCCTTTGGTACTGGTCTGGGTTCCATACTGTCAGTGTTTTTCCCATTCCCATTTCACCTCTGTCCCCATTCCTATTTCACCTCGGTCCCCATTCCTATCTCGTCCACTCTTGTTGCCTTATCTCGCTGCTGGGGGCTCTTACAGTTATGCTTCATCAATTGTTTTATGTTAGGCTTGGATTATGGTGACCCTAGCTACCTTCTCCCCTCCCCCCTCCCTCTTTCCCAGACCCTAGAGGTAGTGGCAATAAAACAGATATCCCTAAAGTCAGCTCCAGACCATCTCTCCTCCATCAGACAGAAGGAAATTGAAATCCTGAAGGTACTCTACTCCCTTACCGTGTACCTACCTTGTACATCAGAGGTAACTTTTTTTTCTCCTTTCTCGCAGGAAGTGAAGCACACCAATGTGGTCCAGTTGTTGGACTATCACGTGAGTCACACCACCAGGTCACGTGACCTGTGATGTCATACTGGTATCACATGACCTGTGATGTCATACTTGTATTGTTCTCACTTCCCCTACTGCAGGAAGAGAAGTCTCACATCTACCTGGTCATGGAGGTATTCTAGACCTCATCTTCCTCTTTCATGTTTCCCTTTCTTCTTTCTCCCTCTCTCTTGCCTTGTCGGAACTCCCTCTCTCACTCCCTCCCTCTCTCACTCTCTCCCCAATCACCAGTACTGCAATGGAGGTGACCTGGGAGACTATCTGCAGACCAAACACACACTCTGCGAGGACTCAATCCGCCACCTCACCAACCACATCGGTGAGCAGTATACTAGAAAACACTAGAATTTACTAGAAATCATTGCAGTATTATAGAGATTAGAATGCACAATGTAGTGTTGCATTTTGTACTTAGAATACGCAATGGAAGTATCGCAGTGAAAGTAGTTATAGATTACTGGAATTCACAAGCAATTACTGGAATACACAAGGAATTACTGAAAGTGTGTATATTTCCCCTCTCTCCCTGCAGCCAATGCCCTGGCCACTCTGCACAGTCAGCACATCATTCACAGAGACATCAAACCTCAGAACCTGCTTCTCTCGTATCCCTCTCCTTCTCCTTCCTCCTCCTCCTCTTCATCCTCATCTCTGTCCGGGAGTGGGAGTGCCAAATGTGATCGAACCATCACTGAAGCCACTATCAAACTAGGTACTATACACATTATACATAGTTCGAGAAGGTTCGATGAGGTTCGATGTACTTGAACCTCATCGAACTAGTGCATATAGCACCCTGCATTCCTTCTATCCCCTGTAATGATACAGTGCCTATGGGTAACTCTAGTCTACGTTCGTGTAGATGACATGTTTACTTCATTGTGTTGGTGTACATAAGATTTCATACGTACATTGACATTGCATGAGACTCTTCTGGTTGCTTGTCTCTAGCTAATTGTGTGTGTGTGTGTGTTACAGCTGATTTTGGGTTTGCCCGACACCTGAATGGCACGGACATGGCTGCCACTCTCTGCGGCTCTCCTCTCTACATGGTCAGTCACCTATTTACCGCCGGTCGCGTCAATGTTTGTCACACTGTATGGCCAATTTGTTTGATGTACATGTGTCTGTGTTGTAGGCCCCGGAGGTTCTACTGGGAGAGAAGTATGACGGGAAGGCTGATCTGTGGAGTGTTGGCACAATCATCTTCCAGTGCCTTACTGGATCTGCCCCCTTTCTGGTCTGTCCCCTTCTCTCTTTTTCTCCTCTTTCTTCCCCCTCAACCCCTTTTCCTCTCCTCCTCCCCCTACGTCATATCTACCCCTTCCTCCTCCCTCTCCTCTCTATCTCCTCTCTCTCCCTCACCCTTCTTGTTTTCCCTACCCATGTTTATTATTCCTGGCCCCCTCTCTTTTTGTCTGTCTCTCAGTACCCAACAAATCCCCCCAAATAAGACAAACTGCTGTGGTCCCCTATCATTATCTCCTATCACAGCCAACAATACCAGATTAGTATACTCATCTTCTCTGCAGGCCAACAACCCACATGCCCTGAGGAGACGCTACGAGAGGGAGAAACTGGTGGCCAAGATTCCGGAGGGTACTTCGCGCCATCTTGCCTCCCTGCTCGCCAAGCTCCTAAGAAAGAACCCCAGAGATAGACTAGCTCATGGTGAGTGGGTCTCTTGGCACCAAACCCGTGTTACTTCATACACCGAAGGTGGTCACCGGAAGTGTCCGATTGTATATACAAGCTCTGAATATTGTGAACCTGACTCTGAACTGTCTGGCAACATTCTTAGCTTCCTCTATAGCTCTTCACTTTCGTCTCTCTCCAACTTCCTCTTCCTCCTCCCTCTCTTTTGCAGAGGATCTGTCGGTGCACCCATTCCTAGCAAACCCTTCCATCCAAGCCTCAGGTACGTATGTACTTGAATGGGGATTTAGTTTTTCGAAAGTGTGCTGGGAACCAAGTTACTTGAATGTCCTGCCTCCTACTGTTGTAGGGTACCTGATGATGGCTCCTTCACCCCCTCGTGCCAAGTCCTCCCCTGTCCCCATCAGAAGACACACCCCCTCTCCCTCCCGCACCCCCTACTCCTCTCGCCACTCCCACTCTCAGGTGAGTAGTTGTACACATACCGTTGTGTTTAGAGAGAGCTCGCCTAAAGATGGAAAATTGCCTGCTTTGTCTAGATGTACGCATGCAAGTAAGAACCTGTTTTGGCGCACATTTTGCAGCAAATTGTGAGGGCTGCTGTATTATAGACCTTTCTCCGTACAAACTTACTTGCTGCATGTCTCCTGTTTGTACGATGTACACATGTGCGTCTGTCTGTTGCAGCGGCAGAGTCCGTATGAGATCTTTGTCTCTCCTTCGTCCGGTCCTCCCTCCATCCACCCTGTTGGCAGCGGTGAGCTCCGTTAATTCTTTTCTCCGTTTCTACTCACACACCCTACATGTCTACGCATTTCTCAGCCTCCTGATCCTCCCACCCATTTCTCTCCATTTCCTCTCTTCTATAAAACATGCCTGTCTTTTCCCTGCAGCCTCATCTCTTGCCCGTCACCACAGTCCACACTCTGACATCACTGATCATGTGAGTTGTTTTTTCCCCATCTTTGTGTATTTTCGTGTTGTGTAGCGCTAGCTGTTAGTTTCACAAGCCATTAGACTTAGTACTGTTTCAGTCCATTGCGCCCACTGTGATCTGTGCAACCAACTGTGTTATACACACAATGCACGAACACACACACACACACACACATTGTGTGGGCTGGGAGTAAATGCAGAATAACGTTGCAAATGTTCAAGTGGTGATGTATTTTTGTGGCTCGAAAAGTGACGTACAGTTTTCACCGCATGAACTGTCCAACTTTCCTCTCCTCTAATTAGGGGTTCATCTTGGTGGAGTCTCCTGGTCTCTCCTCCTCTCCTCTCTCACTCACCTCCAGCCCCCACTCCGGGAGCTACGGCAGCGCCCGAAGCCACACACCCTCATCATCTGGACACACCCCCTCCTCGTACGGCTCTTCCTCCATGCAGCGGTTCCGCAGCCTCACCACACCCTTTTACCAAGCCACACCGAATTCGCGCAGTTCTAATGGGAGCACACCAACTATAAAAGGAAGCGATGTCGTTGCCAACTCGCCACCTAATCCTGCTGATTATGGTCGGCCTCGATCCCATTCCAATACTTCCAGACGCCGATGTTCGGAACCACAAGTGGGCGTGGCACCTCTTTCACACACCCCGCCCTTTGGCAGACTCATGCAGTTGGGCGTCGCCCCGGCAACCGCTCAGTCTCCGCCCACGAACTCCATCCATCGTCAGACCTCCTCCTCGCCTTCCCCATCCTCACCGTCAGGCCACGCCTACCAAATGGGCAATAATGTGGGCGTGGCAGTGGGTGGAGCTCGACAGACATTGAGAGGAGGAGGGGGAGGGATGAGATATTCTCTGGTGACCCATGGCAGTGGGTCTAAACTGACCTCTCTGTCGGAGCAGGCGGAGCAAGAGGACACTCAGTGGCAGCGAGAGGAGAGTCGGAGACGAGGGAGTCGACGAGGCAAAAAGGCTCCCCCCGCTAACAAGGGGGACACCCCTTCGCTAGAGAAGAAACTGGAAAGACGGGTTTTTCTGGACCAGCTGATCACGGCGAGCCAGGTCCTGGTATCTGACGATGAGGAAGAGATCGACGAGGACGAGGTGGATTTTTCCATCTCACTCTCGCTGCAGTCGAGTCAGTCCAGCAACAAGACGGACGAACAGGAGGACGAGGAGGAGGGTGGGAGTGGCAGTTCGGAGGTGGCCACGCCCAAATTCTCGGTGAGATCTGGAGCTGGGAGGCGGTGCAAGAGTGCTGGGGGAGGAGAGGGAGGGAGAGGTTCGTTCTCGCAGCAACACTCTGAGCAGCTGGCGGAGAATCTCCAGGCAATTCACAGTCGCGCCGCGTCCCTCTCCTCTCACCAGAGCTGGCTGGAAGGCAGCGGAGACTCCGCCCTCTTTGCCCCTGCTGCAATCACAGAGTACCGCTTCGAGGTGTCCCTTGCCGCAGAAATCAAACCCGTGACACCTACATTTCAGCTCCCCCGAGGGCCCCCCTCGTCTCAATCTAATTTACCCCCACAACCAGATCGAAGGGTCCCTCATCAATGTCGGGATGGGGCTAACTTGAACGTTGAGTTGCCCCGTGAACAGTGGAGAGAGGAGGGGAGGGGAGGTGTGCGGGTAGTGAGGAAGGGGGCGAGGGGAGGTGTGATTGGAGAGGGTGTGAGGGTGTGTCTGGCTCCTCTGCAGCAGGCAGTGGCCCTGGCAGGAGAGCTCACAGCGATGGCTCAAGCCCGTCAGGGACCAATCATGCTTCTCTCAACTGATCTGGTTAGTAGCTCTCCTGTACGGTGAAACTGTGAGTAAGGGACACCTTGGGGGGGACATTGAAACTGTCCTTTTGTCGGGACATGCAGCAGTTTAGTATGTGGCAGAGCTAGAGAGGAAATGGCAACTTTTTCCGAGAGTTTCCGAAATCAGTTTATGTATGTACAAGTGTTTGCAATTCAGTGTAAAAGTTATCGTTCATTTCAAGGCTTGCAATCTCAAAATTTTGAAATGAACATGATTTTGCTGTGGAGGTGTCCTTTATTCATAGGGTCCGTTTTCAGAGGTTTGGTAGCTGAAATTATCACCGTTTTTCCTCCATTCATCACAGAGTTCGTCCGGTGGTGTTTCTCGCTCTCAGCGTCACTCAGAGCAGCTGGTTCTCTATGCCAAGGCAGTGGCTGTCCTGGACTCTGGACTGAGGCAGTTTCAGATCCAAATGGCAGCCAGCAGCTGTGAGCTGGAACAAGGCCCCCTCCGTACTGGTGAGAGGATCCAACACTTTAGCAATAAAAAAGTTGTTGGAGGGAGACAAGTTGTCTGTGTAAAGTTTCTCCATGAAACTCCCATCTCATATCTTTTTAACACAGCTGAGGTGGAGGCTGGGGAGATGCAAGAGACGTGCCTGGAGAGAGCGAGACAGCTTCGCGAGGAACTGGATAAGACAGGAAGCGCCACTCCCTCCCACCCCTCCCCTCCCTCCTCCCTCCATCTCTCTGCCGAGAGACTGCTACTGTTGGAGGCTCTGGATATGGTTCGTTCAGCGGGGGAGAAGATTAATAACCTCTACCATCTTTCTCTCTCCTCAGTGTAAACATGCAGTCCTGAGCGAGCAAGCAGGAGAAACGAAGGAGGCAAGTTGCACAGCGACTCAGATTATATTGTTTTACCTGCCGTCTGTCCTTCCCCCCTCTCCTTCTCTTTACCCACTCCTCTCTCTTCTCTCCAATACTATTCCCATCTTTTTTCTCATCTGATCTCCCTCCCCTGTGTGTGTGTGTCTTTGTTTTGTAGTGCGTCAAGAAGTATCGCATTGCAAAACTTATCTTCACTCACCTTCTCTCTGAGGCCAAGACGCACCGAGACAGGACAATCCTCACCAACTGTATCTTCCCACACCTTATATACTTACTTGCTACAGATGTACATATATACTGTACCTACGTACAATGTACCACACTTGTATGCAACTGTGTAACTAGTATATATGCTGTTGAGTTTTGGCCCTGGCACTATATAGCAGATACACAAACGTATGTATTTGCAACATGTTTTACTGTATACATGTAGGACTGGGTTTTCTAGCATAAGGCGTTGAAGGTTTGCAAAACTGCTGTTTACAGGGCACTGTAAGAAGCTGGCAGCTGTACACGGAATACCCCAGTTGCAAATTATTTTCTCTCTCTGTCACCATTATTTCCTTGACTGGCGTTGTGTGTGTGTGTATCCAGATGTACAGTCGGTGACAAGGCGGATCCAAAGACTGACAAACAACTGTTGACGTTCCCATACTCTCATACACCCATTCCCCCATACCGCATGCTGCCATACTTTGGAACCAGTTTTAAAAGTTGTTCCGGGACACTCAACTCTGTTTTATCCTCCCATCATCTCATCAGCAAAGAGCATTTTATAATCGGCTCACGTGATTTATATTTTTGTTGGGTTTGTTTACTCAAATGTTTTTGTTAAGTGTTTTATTTGTCAGTATATTCGTCTCTGGTGTATCTACTTATCATCTGTATAGTAGTTGGTTGAACGTGATCGATTGCAGTCGTAGATTTTGATAACACCATGTGAAACGACCATGAAGAATGTGTGTGAGCATTCGAAAAGATGGTGGGTGACATAATTATTTTGATGAAAGAATGACTAGGATAATATTGGATTATGGAGGTGGGCGTGGGTTCCCTGGCTCCACCCCACTCAAGTCTTGGAGACTCGGTGGTCGGGCAAGGGGGGCAGACCCCGGGGGGCTGGCGACTAATTGGAAAGCACTCCCCGAATAGGGTTTGGAGAGGGAAGTGGGTGATGCAAGTGGTGCAATCGACACAAATCCCAAACTGGGCATGGCCTCGCCAGCTCGACTGGACCAGAGAAACCTCCTGGCCCCGCCCACTGGGGGCGTGGAAGATAACGGTGAGGAGGTGGGGCCACCACCGACTCCGCCCGTGGGGTGCTCACTCATGGAGATCAGTTTCGGTGGAGGTGCCTTGACTGGGGATAGGATGGCCTTGGGTCGGAGGAGCTGCGGTGCTCCAGCTGGTACTGGGACACTGTGGACAATGGGGACAGGGCCTCCAGTGTCCATGGCTGATCCTTCCTCATCTTCGTCGTCTCGACTTGACCCTGAGGTCGACGACTCACTCGCAGAGTCCTCAGAGTCACTACTGCTCGTCGAACTAGAGCTAGAGCTGGCCCCCTGGTGATGGGACCCCGCCCATTTTACCACACCCACCGGTGGGGTCCCTTTTCCAGAGGGTCGAGTTGCCGTAGAAGGCACAAGTAGTGGCTTTGGACGTGGAGGTTTGGCAGGAGCAGGGATCGACGCTAGGATTGCAGCTGTTGTTGACTGTGCCGACACTCCAGACGAGAGAGACATTATCTGCGGGGTGTGCTTAATGAGGGGTGTGGCTAGAGGCGTGGCTTGTTGCAGCAGTTTTCCCCACCCACCTCCTCCGGATGCAGTCCCGATAGGGAGAGACACAATGAGAGGGCTTGTGCTGACAATGATGGTGGTCGGAGAGTGTTGCTGTGGGCCTTGACGAGCTCTAGCAACCGCTTTCGTGATCTTTGCTGCAGCCATGGCAGAGACTTTGGTGGAGGCAGCTTTTGTCGCTTTCTGCACTCCTCCAGACTTTACCGTCAGTGTTGACGCGGTCTTTGTGGCTGAGGTGGTGGTGGTGGAGTCGGAGGTAGTGTTGTGTATGACGGTGGCGGTGTTTCTAACCACTCCTCCTCCTCCTCCTCCTCCTCCTACAGTTGCCGCTGCTGATTTGGTTGTTGAGGCAGCCGCACAGGCAGAGGAGGATGAAGAGAGAGATGCCGACTGATCCACTGCTTCACTGCACCGCACCGTGTGCACAGAACCAAAGGAGAAGGCAAACAAGAGAGAGAGAGAGAGAGAGAGAAAGAGAGAGGGAGAGAGAGAGACAGAAAGAGCCAGAGACGTGCAGAGAAACACAATACATGAAAAGTAAATGCATTTTGAAGCATACAATGTTAGTGTGGGTGTTCTGGGGGTATATACATCTTTTGCCCTGCAAAGGCCAACAATTGTTTCTATATATTAATGTCAATTTCTGCCGCACCTCCAGAAAGTTAACCTCTAGCGGCACACACACAGAGAGAGATTCACAGTATGATGAACAAACCTTTTGACTCCGATCTCTGTTTTCTTCCAAAGGAGAGTGAAACAGTAAATGAGGCGGTGTGGCAAGAGAGGCTGGGACTAACCTCAGGAGGAGGAGGAAGAGGAGGAGGGTGGCTAGGTGTCTCTTCTCCACTGGAATAGTCCGTCTCCTCGCCTCCCGACAGAACGACGGCCTCGTAGCGCATCAGCTGGTCCAGCAGAAAACTTTGGAGACAGAGAAAAGGATTGCGAAATTGAAACTCTATTTCACCAGTTGTTGATGCTATAAAGACTTACTTTTTGTCGCTGGAGAGCTCCAGAAGCTTCATCTGAGCCTTCTGAATGTCGTTTTCGAAGCACTCGTGCTCCTATGACCGAAGCCAGAGCTAGACGGATTTGAAAACGCAACGACACTCACGTATATGAGGTATTTCAGTCTACTCTTCAACTGACGGTACTTTGTCTTGTAGGGAACGACTTCTTCTTCGTCGTTTTCGCTGTCCATGTCCAAGCCGAAACAAAACAGAAGTGAACGACAAGTTTATTCTCCAATAAATGCGCACCAAACATGCACACGTTACCCTAATAAGTGCCCACCCTGTGTGAAATGCGCATGCGCCACTTCGTGGAAGCCTGCTGAGGTTTGCACTGTCTTCTTGTAGCATCATGAAGGAGCAGTTTCGAGACACAGATGTGGCCAAAAAGATGTAAGAACATTAGAAAAATCATTAACCAATATATCTATTCAGATCGAAGCTCATAAACAGACGGCTATCCAAATACTAAAACTGACCGGATTGATGTTGTTTGTTCACAGTGGCCATCTGCAGTTTGGGCTGTTTTCAGCGGAGCAGATGCGGCAGCAGGCGCACATCCACGTGGTCAGCAAGGCTCTGTACTCACAGGATAACTCCAGGAAACCTGTACCTTACGGCGTTCTTGACCACAGAATGGTGCGTTGTCTTCTTCCTCTCCGTACCTCACTTGCTCTTGTCCCCCTCTGTTCCACCATTTAGGGTACTAGTCAGAAGGACGCCAACTGTGAGATGTGCGGGAAAGCCCTGGCAGACTGTATAGGCCACTATGGATACATTGACTTGGAGCTGCCCGTGTTCCATGTTGGCTATTTCAAGAGCATTATCGCCATTCTCCAGAACATATGCAAGGTGTGCCTATTTACTTGACTGTCAATTTTTCTTTCTGAGACGAAAACCAGTAGTCGTAACATTTGACAAAGAAAAGTTGGAAACTGCCAGGGAAATACTCTTTGTTGAATTCTGTGATTCATTGCTCTTTAATTTGGTTGTTGAAGGTTTTAGCAAAATGTCTTTTGTGGGTGCCTTTTGACATCTTCATCTGTCTGTCAGACATGCAGCAGGGTTCTGCTGAGAGTGGTGGACCGTCAGGTGTTCCTGGACCTCCTGAAGAGACCCACTCTCTCTGCGCAGGCCAGGAAGGCCATTGCCAAGAAGATCAACGAGAAGTGTAGGAAGGTGTCCTCCTGCCACCACTGCTCTGCTCCCAATGGTCAGACTCCCCTTCTCTCTCTCAAGAATTGTAACAGTACAATGATGTATTAATAGATCGTAGATATCCTTTTGCCTGGAATTCACTGGTTCAATTTGGAGTATACAATACAATAGCTTTACATTTTTGGCAAGCGAATGCGAATCTTTAGAACATTACACGGTGTGGTGAAAGCGTATACCTCGCTTCACTTGCCAATGAGAGATGGGGATGCTACAAGTGACACACAGCTCATCCCATATTTTCTTTCCCTCACTAACACCTGCACAGGTCCAGTGAAGAAATGCGGACTGCTAAAGGTGTTGCATGAAAAGTTTAAACCTCCGACGTCGCGTCAACAGCCGTCCAACGAGACGCTAGCCTTCAAACAGTCTCTGGAGGAGGTTGCTGAGCAGAACAAAGAACTGCTGCCACACATCGGCAAGGCTCAGGTCCGTAAGTGCAGGAAGCTACGGAGGGAGGGGAGTGAAGAATAGGATGAGGAGTTCTTAATGGTAAAGTGGCAGTACATGAGGTGTTAAATTTGGAAATGCCTATTTGTTGCACAGGGCCCTCTTTAGGAAATTTCTAAATTATATACTGTCACATTCCCTTAAATTTCCTTTTTTTCAGGAAAACCTGAATGCACTCAGGGTGTTGAATCTCTTCAAAAACATCCCAGATGAGGTAATGCTGCATCAATTTCCAATGATATACTAGTCAGGATATTCCCAGTATACTAGTCGGGATATTCCCAGTATACTACTCTGTTCACTTGCTCAGGATATTCCTCTGGTGGGGATGTCTGCTGAGAACGGTCGTCCGGAGAGCCTGATTCTCACAAGAATCCTCGTCCCCCCGCTCTGCGTCCGTCCCTCGGTTGTCTCCGAGACTCAGGCTGGAACGTGAGCCCAGACTCAAAATTTGAGAGTGCAAATTTTACGTTTTGAGACCATCTATTTTTGAGAGTGCAAATTTTGCGATTTTGGCATCAATTTTAACTCCATTTTTGAGAGTATCACTTAGACCATGGATTTTAACTCAATATTTTCTGCTGTGTATCTTTGCACCTCGGAAGAAACTGGCCGATATTCTGTATGCTGCAGGACAGAAGATGATGTCACCATGAAACTAACGGAGATTATATTTCTCAATGATGTCATCCAAAAACACCGCACACAGGGGGCCAAAGTTCAAATGATTATGGTCAGTGCAATTCGCAGCTCTCTCTCTCCTACATACCCCTTGTTCCTCCCTCTCTCCCTCTCTCTCTCTCCCACTCTCCCTCTCTCCCCCTCTCCCCCTCTCAGGAAAGCTGGGATTTCCTCCAGTTGCAGTGTGCTCTCTACATCAACAGTGAAGTGTCGGGCATACCACTAGCTATGGCTGTAAGACCTCGCATATGATCCGTAGTCACGTCTCTATGAGGGAGGGGTAGTTGATGTCACTATTATTAAGTGAGCAAAGGGAGCCTATGTACACACCTAGTCATCCAATGTACGACATCTGTCACTGAACACCGGAAATACTACTGTGCATAATACGCGAAACAGACATAAGTAGTTTGAAGGTTTTGCCCAACTAGCTCACTATACAGACTTGCTGTTGCTCACTCGCACCAATTCGTTCTCCTGTGGCGGAAGCAAAGACACTTCTTCTGCTCCGCCTCAGAATTCATAACGTCTTTTGTTTATGGTTGTGCCTTTTTTTTTGCCGCGCGACTCCCTCTGATCTGCAGCCCAAGAAGCCGACGCGAGGGTTCGTCCAGAGACTCAAGGGCAAGACTGGCAGATTCAGAGGAAACCTCTCTGGGAAGAGAGTTGACTACTCCAGTAGAACTGTCATCTCCCCAGACCCCAACGTTCAGATTGACCAGGTTATTGGGTGGAAGTAAATGGATGATGCAAAGCTTTCAGTCTTTATATGAGCAGAAAGCAATTCTCTCAAGTTTACCGATTGAAAGCGTTTTTACTCCTCGTGTTAGGTGGTGGTTCCAGTTCATGTGGCAATGATACTCTCCTATCCAGAGCGGGTAAGTAGTATGTATATATGTGTATACCAGTCAGTGTACTGCAATGCTCCTTTATAATATACATTAGTAAAAGGGAGTGATGTGGGGAGGGAGTATAAGCAATATAGAGAAAGTGACAATGCTGTAAATGATAAACCCAACAATTTGGCTGCACCAAGGGAGTGCAGCGGAGAAGTACATTAATATGTGGGAAAGTGGCACTTCTATAGCCCAATTGAATAAGGCCAGGCGTGGAAAAAGCAGAGCAATAGTGTTCGAATCGAACCCCCATTCTCAAAGTCCTGTGGCAACAAGAGGGGAGGTGTGGGGAGATAGGTTCATTGTTTTTCCCTGCAGGTGACCCACGCCAACATACGGCTGATGAGGAAGCTGGTGGAGAGCGGACCAGAGAGACATCCTGGAGCCAACTTCATCCAGCAGAGAGGTCAAGTCTTCAAGAAGTGAGGGCCAGTTCAAATACCAGCATAGGGAGACAGTTGCTCTGCTCAGCTCCAGTATCTACTGTGGTGGAGACAATTTTCAAATATGTTTCTTCCCAAAAATGCTTATGCTTTTGCAAGTGCCTTATTCTCAAGCTGTTGGTCACATCTACTGAATCTCCACGCCCCTTTTGAAAAATTTCTCACCATTTATGTTGTCTACTCAAGGTCAAGAATAAAGATTAGTGTTGCCCACCTCTCCTCAGATTTCTCAAGTATGCAGACCGTCCGAAAGTGGCTAAAGAGCTGAAGGTATGTGCCGGGATCATGTGGTTGTATTTCCATTCCCATTCCCCTGATCTCTGGAACAGTATGGAGACCTGGTGGAACGGCATCTGATAGATGGGGACGTGGTTCTGTTCAACCGTCAGCCTTCGCTGCACAAACTCAGCATCATGGCCCATTTCGTGAGCTCTCTCACTTATCTGAACTGCAACACCTTTGAGCTGTCAGATATAAGCAAGTACGCAATGTAGTGCTGACTCCGCCCCCTAATTAACCTCCACAGGCAAAGGTCATGCCAAACCGGACATTCCGGTTCAACGAGTGTGTATGCACTCCGTACAACGCCGACTTTGACGGAGACGAGATGAACCTTCACCTCCCGCAGACCGAGGAGGCCAAGGCCGAGGCTCTCACTCTCATGGGGGTGGGTGTGGCTTCATGGGTGGGCGTGGCCTAATAGATGGATGGTATATACATCCTAGAGAGTTGAGAAATCCTTCCACTCACATGTTACATTTCGCATGAGGCTCGAATATGATGCCATGCTTTGTGTGAAAATTTTGCAGTTTAGTGATGATGTAATGATTACATAATTCATTGCAGACCAAATCAAATCTGGTGACTCCGAGGAACGGGGAGCCACTGATAGCTGCCATCCAGGACTTCATAACAGGTGAGAATCGCCCTTGCTCCACCTCCTCCTCTCTGGCTCTCACCTCTTTCTCTCTCTTCCACCCCTCCCCTCTCTCTTCCTCGCTCACCGACCACAGCCAGCTACCTCCTCACTCAGAAGGACGTGTTCTTTGACAGGACCAAGTTCTGTCAGATTGTCGCCTCCATGCTACACGGGAGGGATGGAGGGGTTAAAATTGATCTTCCTCCCCCGGCAATCTGGAAGGTCCAACCATCTCCTTACAACTTCACTTATAGCTATCACAATGCAAACACAAGAGTGCAATAGAAAGCATGCCAGTGACTTCAAGCTTTGTGAAATCTCTTGTCTCATAATGTAGTGCATGACTCATCCATGCACACCCATCCATTGAAGTTGCATAAGACTTTTGTGCATTGATATAGGATCATATTGTGCTGCATTGGCTTCTAGCTTACTCTCTCTACACACACACACACACACACACACAGCCTGTGAGACTGTGGACAGGGAAGCAGATAATCGGCTGTCTCCTGAGACCTAACAAGACCTCTCCAATTCTGATGAACCTCAGAGCCAAAGGGAAGCAGTACACGACGGGAGAAGACCTTTGCTCCAACGATTCCTGTAACAGCACCACGAGAACTTTTGGCCCGATTAAAGCTCTATTTCCCTCTCTTCCTCCTTCCTCCCTTTCTCTTTCTCTATCCCTTTCTTTCTCTTCCTTCTCTCTTCCTCTCTCCCTCCTCTCTCTCTTTTCCCCCTCTCCCTCCCGCAGATGTGGTTGTGTTCAACAGCCAGCTCATGTGTGGAGCTCTCGACAAGTCTTCTCTCGGGTCAGGCTCCAAAACAAACATCTTCTACATTCTCCTCAGAGACTATGGAGAGCAGGTCAACCATCACCTCCCTCTCTCATCTCTCCTTCTTCCTCTCTTTTTCGCTCTCTATTTCTCTCTCTCTCTCTGACTATGGAGAGCAGGTCAACCATCACCACCTCCCTCTCTCATCTCTCCTTCTTTCTCTCTATTTCCCTCTCTCTCTCTGCAATGTTTGATTTCTAAGTTCATCCCCCCTCTCTTCTTCCTTCTCTCTTTGCAATGATTTATTCCAAAGTTCTGTTTGTCTTTGTCTTCCAGACTGCAGCCAACTGCATGTCTCGACTGGCCAGACTCTGTCCATACTTCCTCTGTGAGTTACACCGTGGTATATACAGAGACAGTTTATCCAACAGCTGTCTACTGAATCGGTGTTGAGACTACGGCTACTTTAATCCTGCCAAGACCATCCATTGTCCAACCTATAATGAGTCATGCTCCCGTAATAATTACGTACCTTTTGGACGCTCTCCTAGAGTTTCCGAGAATTCGACAGTCTAGTCTTAAGAACACTCTAAAGTCCCCCGCACTCTTTTAGAGCAGTCCTTATAAGGTCACATTATCATTCCTCCCAGAACTTACAGGCAAAGCACTTTGACAAATTTCCTGCAGCTAATCACAAATTTACATTATATAATGCTTCTCGGGAGCTCCCTACTTTTCTCTTATGGAGTATGTACGTAGTTCCAGAGCCAACTCTTGGAAGAGATGAGCATTTCAATGTTGTGTACAGCAAACCGAGGGTTCTCTATTGGTATTGGCGACGTGACCCCGGGGCCGCGTCTAGTGAGGGAGAAGGAGAGGCTGGTGAGGGAGGGCTACGAGAAGTGCAGAGAGTACATCAGGAGTTTCCAGGAGGGCAAGCTCCAGAGCCAGCCCGGCTGCTCAGTCGAAGAAACACTAGAGGTAGCTAGCAAGCAGCTCCACTCTCTGAGATCTATGATCTACCAAGAAAATTGTCTGTATATACTCACTGCTTTCTGAAGCAACGTTGATACACATGACACTAAAGCAACAATCCAGATTGATCCAATTGCTGATGTGGATTGGCAAGAATTGAGCCTCTTTCATAGGAAAGACTGGAGCCTGTGGACTCATTAGTGCATTAATCCCGACTACTAGTGTCAATACTGCTTCAGCAGTATCCAGTTTCATTAGGTCTTTCTCTCTCCCTCTCCTCCCCTGTCCTCACAGTCAGTCGTTCTCCGCGAGTTGTCTGTCATCCGTGAGTCTGCGGGGAAATCTTGCAAGAAAGAGCTCCATCGCACCAACAGCCCCCTCATCATGGCTCTCTGCGGCTCAAAGGGTTCTTTCATCAACATCTCGCAGATGATAGCCTGCGTGGGTCAGCAGGCCATCAGCGGGAAGAGAATCCCTGATGGGTTCGAGGATCGGGCCCTGCCTCATTTCCCCAGGAAATGTGAGGCATCTCCTTTCTTCAACAATCTTGAGCATAATATACCATAGCAAACGGGGAGAAAGAGAACAGTAGAATTTTTTAGCTCAAACTAGAAGAGAGGGTGACAGATGCTGCACCATACTCTAGCGTTTCCTCGTAATAATCTGAGTTAGTATAACCTCAAAAGCTTTCCAACTGCTACAAACTATTAATTGTGCTCACTGTGTGTTCTGCTCAGCCAAAGAGCCTGCAGCCAAGGGATTTGTGAAGAACAGTTTCTACTCTGGGCTCACACCCACAGAGTTCTTCTTCCACACTGTCGGAGGGAGAGAAGGTCTGAATAACTACGTTATGAGACCCACAATATTATTATAGTGGCCACTGGAACCAAAAAATGCAAAAGGTTTTTTATCTGTGAAGTGTTGAGGACAAGCACTATTCCGTGAGAGTTTTGTGCCAATTTTGTTTATCGAAACCTACAGCAAGTAGTATAGTTAAGAGAAGAAATTTTATTCTCCACAGGACTTGTGGATACTGCAGTGAAGACGGCAGAGACTGGCTACATGCAGCGGAGACTAGTCAAGGCATGAGCATAATCTCTGAAGCTGCACTAGATAACAATTTGTCCACCTTACATTTGAATCTCCCTCCTTCCTTCCATCTCTCTCTTTCTCTTCTCCCTCCTCAAATCTCCATGTAATAGTCTCTGGAAGACCTCTGCTCCCAATATGATCTGACAGTCAGGAACTCCGAGGGGTTCATTGTCCAGTTCAAGTACGGAGGAGATGGTCTAGACCCCGCAGCCATGGAGGGGAAGGACAAACCTGTGGAGTTCCCTAGAGTTTTGCAGCATATCAAGGTCGCCAGTACCCTCTGCATCGACAGCCTCGCCTTGTATAGCTCCGTCCTTGATTTAGCTTTATCTGTAGTGTAGCTCTGGAAAAGTAGGCCCCCTACAGCTGTAGAAAACGAAAATTAGTATTATTACAGCAGACTCTGTATTGCTATGTAGTGTACATATGTAACAAGCTCCCTGCTTTAGTTGTGTACTAGCTAACCATCTTAATAGTGTATGAGAAATGGTCGGCCCTTTTGCTCAATGTGTCAGTATTCACTGCTCTTTTTTTATTAGTCTTATACCTTCAACTTTTTTGTTGTATAAGCCCTGTGTTAAGTCACTGAACTGATGCAAGGTGTGTGCAGGCGATGTATCTGTGTGGAACAGAGTCTCCGCTGAGTCCATCTCAAGTCAGGTTCCTCTCTGACAAGGCCTTTCAGTCAAACATCTTCCTCTACTGCAACAACGAGTTCAAGAGAGGAATTAGGTCTTACTTGATTACTGTAGTCACTTGAGGATATGTTTTTAGAAGGGGATTATGATAATTATGCACTAAAGTAGGACAAATTAAATTGCTCCTGTAGTCACTTGAGGATATGCTTTGCCATACATTTAGAAGGGGGGTTATGATAATTATGCATGATTGGCACTAAAGTAGGACAAATTAAATTGCTCCTGTAGTCACTTGAGGATATGCTTTGCCATACATTTAGAAGGGGGTTATGATAATTATGCATGATTGGCACTTAAGTAGGACAAAATTAAATTGCTCCTTAAATGGGAGAGACCAAGCAGATAAAATTGAGTGTTACTGATGTGAAGCCTATACAGGTTAATAGGCAGTCTCAGCATGGAGGGGTTCACATGGGGAGCTGCAGAAGACGTGTGATGCAATCTTCCCAAAACTAGTCCTCTCCTCCCAAATATCGTTGCAAACCATAGAGTTTCTTGTGCTTTAGTTCAAGGTCTGCAGAATCAGATCTTAGGGAGCCTCCATAAGGCATGTCCCCACAACATGTCAAGACAACTATGTGTGCTATCGTTCACTCTAAGAATTCCATATAAGTCAAGCTATTCCGAAGCTTCAGGCCTTATTATATAATGCTCCATACATTAGCCCTCAGGCTACCGCTAATATTGATTTTTGGCCTTAGGTCATTCCTGGATAAAGCGGTGGACGACATGGAGTCATTCTGGCTGCGCCACGGAATACCAGATCCCTTCAAAGAGTAGGTTCATCAGTCAGCATCAGCACCTCTGTACACACTACAGCATAACACACTGATTGAACAAAGTGATGAGCTTGTAATGGATTATTAGTTGCTTGGTCATGGGGTTTGGCAGTGTGCATGTGTGTGTGTGTGTGACATTGTTTGCGTGCCACACAACAAAGTGTTGTTCCGACTGTGTGTGTTAGGGGGGCTGCCAGAAGTGGAGAGATTGCGGAACTCCTCAACCCAATGGATGATGCAGTCCCAAGAGGTATATATACGGAGAATGGAATGATGATAACGATGGCCCGGATACTGGGAATTCCTACTTACAACCTTGTGGAATTTCGAACAATTCTATTTTGAAATATGAGACCAGATTCTGTCGGTGTTTATCCCCAAACTCTCTCCCCCTATCCTCCTCCTCCTCTCTCTCTCTCTCTCTCCATTTCTCTGTTGGCAAATCTCAACTACAGTTCTCTACCAAATCCAGCGGTTCACCAGAACGCAGATGGAAAAGTTCCTCACCACTTGTGTTGACAAGTTCATGCGGGCGAGAATCGAGCCTGGGACGGCGGTGGGGGCTGTGGGGGCACAGAGTATTGGCGAACCAGGCACTCAGATGACCCTCAAGACCTTTCATTTTGCTGGAGTTGCCAGCATGAATATCCTCATGTTACGTAAATGTCGTTAATATTGCACAATCGTTGTCAATATTGCAGGGAATTACCCCAGAGGTGAAGAATAAGCTATTGGTGCAGACGCTTGCCTTTACGCAGAAAGCTATCTGTGCCAATGCTTATACACACGCTTACATTACTCATAACATAATACATCATAGATAATGTTTGCCTATAATAAAAAATATACTACTGGAAAATGCTTTGTACAAGTGCTTCTGTGGCTATTAACCTAATCTGATATGCCCACAATAAGGTTATAGCAATGGGCTATGGTTACTGTGTTGTGATTGAGATATTCGCTACTACAGTATTGGGTTGCTTCTTTGTTTTCATCAGTGAGTGATGCACTGTATCGTGTAAGTTGGCAATTCTCAAGCAGGTGTAGCTACGTTGCGTATCTCCCGGGGATTCTCTAACACTGGCCTCTCTGGGTAACTTTATACGGTTGTTTGCGGCACTTAAGCTTCTGGGAATTCTACGTTGCGGATGTTTGCGTGTGACTCGTCCAAATCCAGGTGTCTCTTATGCAGCCCTGTGTTAGTTTGTGCCAGCCCTTAAAGGCTCCCATAATCACAGACCGTAGTGTACTATGCATGACCATTCCTTGACTGTGTTGATGTTTGGTGATTACATATTACGCTGGGAGTCCCCCGAATCAAGGAGATAATCAATGCGTCGAAGGTCATCAGCACACCGATCATAACTGCCCACCTTGAGACGGACAACGACCCAGAGTTTGCCAGGATTGTCAAAGGGAGGATTGAAAAGACTCTACTTGGAGAGGTTCTCGCATGATTATTGTTGTACTGTTGATGTGGGAAGAGTTGGCAAGGGTTTCTAGTTGCCAATTACGAAGCTATTCCACAAATTAACAGTATTGGCAGGTTCACTGTCCATTTAGACTGAACATGAGCCACCATTTTCCAATGCACACCACTCAAGATGTAACACTTTTATTTTTGTCAGAGTGTGCAATGGGAAGACTTGAAACTGTCCTGTGTGTGTGTGTGTGTGTGTGTGTGTGTGGTGTAGGTTTCTCGGTATATTGAAGAGGTCTACGAACCAGATGGTTGCTTCATCAAGATCAGGCTGGACCGCAACCGAGTCAAACTCCTGAAAGTGAGCCCATTTTCTGGGGGTCTTTCGCTAACTCCCAGTTGCAGGGGGGTCTTTTGCAGGGGGTCTCTCAGTTTTCATTAAACTTTAATGACATGTTTGTTTTTGTCAAAAATATTGATGACACTGCAATCCCCTGGTATCTAAAGGTATCTAAAGAGCCTACACATTAGTGTACTGAAACAGTGGTCGTGTAAACAAAAGCATTCCAACCGAGCCTGTCATCATTAGGTAAATTCCTTGTGCTGTATGTATATAGTCCGTGTGTGTGTGTTAAGTGTTGTGTTTGTTGTTATGAGTCTTCTGTTGCTATAGTATATTTACAATGCAGTTGGAGGTCGACGTCAACACCATACTCTACAGTCTCTGCGCTGCCCCCAAACTAAAACTGAAGCCAAAGGTGCAAAAACCGAAAATGTTTGTGCATGGGTTTCGCATAAACTGCAGTGAAAGTTTGGAGCGAAACCTCACGGAATGCCTGTGTACGATTTCCAACCAAATTCTCTACACATTCAGTTTCTATTGCTGCATCCAGCTGCATGAATAGCCTCCACAAAAGTCTCATGCAACGTAGGCTATAGTACTAAGTTCCACGATTAACACATAGCGATGTTTTTCGTGTGCATGTACAGGTGCAGGATTTTTTCCTACGTGGGAATTTGTGTTTTCTCCACAGAACATCTCAATCAGAAGTTCCTCTGTCCTGTTTGTCTATCCTCCTGATAATCCCAAGAGCACTGTGTATTACGTACTGCAACACCTCAAGTGTCTACTGCCAAATGTAGTGGTCAAGGTACATTATGCAGTGTATTAGAGTTTTGTGGGTTCTTATATATGCCATGGGGATTTGACTTTCATAGCCTTCCATCTGACCTGGTTATAATGAAAAGGTCTCACGCCAGTTAGTGTGCTACCTTATCTTTGGGAGTGAATGGGCGGTAAAGAATGCACCCACCATAGCTAACAATGCCATTCACCATGTTGGCACTAACACAATAGGAGAACACTGTCATTGTACTTACTGCAGCATCCATCTTTGTAGCTTGAGTGTAGGCAGTGCCAAATCTAATTTGGTGTATAGCTGCATATGTAGAGCTGCATTTCATATGCTATGTATGATGATCTACCTGGAATATGAGACATGTTGTGGCTTTTTTCAAGCAAAATCTTCTTTTCTTGGGTGTTGCTAATCAGGTGCTGTCGTGACATCTGGCATGTGCTGGTGAACAAAGTGTAATAAGATACAACATAGATATGCGGAAGAAATTCCGTTATCAATTTGTTATTGCCATGTCTTATTGGGTTTAGAAATTGTGAGTTATTTAAACTTTGTGGGATTACTTTCGGTCCCAGTGTTTGTTATTGGATCTCTAAAATCTCCACACACCCATATATAGCTACCTTTGTTAGTAAAACAAGCTGCGAGTGCTATATATGCATTTAAGAACATGCTGACCTGTTTGTGCAGGTTGCATGTGCTGCCCGTTACGCAACATTATTCTCCACACCTCCGTAATGTAGTAAATTCAGTTTGGTAGCAAGTATAACCTGATAAAAGAGTGGCAATTATCCTAGGCAGAACTCCAATTACTAATAGCTACTGCATGCGTGGGAAGGCTAAACTACTAGCTGACACGGAAAGTGGTGTCTTGCTACAATCTGGAATACCTTCTCACAACTAAGAACTTCATGAAAGGTGCGTATGTTTTCGGACCTGCAGGGAATAGATAGTGTCAGTAGAGCTATTATTCACATTGATGAAGGCAAGAGAGGGGAGAGGTACAAGCTGCTGGTGGAAGGGATGAACCTCCAGAAAGTGATAGCCACCCGTGGTGTGAAGGGTACGGCCACCACTTCTAACCACACTACTGAAGTGGAGAAATCTTTGGGCATAGAAGCAGCAAGGTTCTGTTCTCCTCTCTCTCTCTCTCTCTCTCTCTTTCTTTCCCCTAGCTATATCTCTTGTCAATGACTGTATTTTACTGCAGATAGCTATCTATATTTTACCACTGCAGGCAAACAATCATCAATGAGATAGTGTACACAATGGTGAACCATGGGATGAGCATAGATTCACGACATGTAATGCTACTGGCTGATCTCATGTGTTTCAAGGTAATAGTCCGGTGACTCTCAATTATATATCAGAATGTCTCTGTCTCACATATTAACGTGTATTGCCTAGTTTCCTAACTAATTGTCGGATATAATCTGCTTGCTGGCGCTTTATGTAGCTAGCTTTCCCACTGCAGTGTTATCATCTTGTTCTAAAATGGCACACAGGGCGAGGTGCTTGGCATCACCAGATTTGGGTTGGCAAAGATGAAAGAGAGCGTTCTAATGCTTGCCTCAGTGAGTCAACAATACAGAAATGCAATTAACTTGTAGCCGTTGTATAACACCCAGGGGTGTTCAGGATATAAGAGTAAGTGAACTATCCTGTTTCATTCACAGTTTGAGAAGACTGCTGACCATCTGTTTGATGCAGCCTTTCATGGACAGAGAGATGCCGTCTGTGGTAGGACACTACTCTCCATTTCATCCTGTCTGCCCCCACTCCCTAGCAATCACACACTACTGTATTGATTTACTCTCTCTCTCTCTCTCTCTCTCCCTGTGTGTGGTGTGTAGGTGTGAGTGAGTGTATCATTATGGGGATACCTATGTCTATTGGAACTGGGATGTTCAAGTTGCTCCATAGACACAAGAGCCCAGCTGTGGCAAGGCAGAAGAAGCTTCTCTTTGACAATCCAGACTTTCACCTTCATGAACATTCATACCGTCACCCGCTACCAAATTCCAGTTAATTAAATTCATGAGTTCCCCGTCATTATCAGCAATTGATTTGGAGGCGTGGCGGGTGATTCCAAATAAAAAGCACCAAGTAAACATGGGAGATCAGCGCTGGTACTGGTTGTCATAGTTCGGCCGCTAGGCCCCGGGCAGGCACGCGCGGCTAACCGGTAGGTTTATGCATCCAAAGTAGCTATATACTATAGGCTAGGATCTCATTCGCACAAAGTGAATGGGTGCCTAGGTCCGCCGAGTTTTTGTAGGTCTGTTTCCGCGCGTGTTTCCTCCCATAACATCTGTCGTAAGCTCTCACCCTCCGTTCCCATACACACGCACCTACTTTCAACACAGCTGCTAGCTGCCGCCGTTTGATGCTCCGTGTTCCGAGGCGGATATGTCCCAAGATGGCGGCGGGGAGCGCGGGGTTTTGGCGGGAAAGGGAAGGGTGTCCCGGCTCTGCCAGCCTCTCCTGAACTGCCTCCACTCAGACCAGAGCCCGCTCTCCGTCCTCGAGTACCTAATCCAGTTCATGGCGGCTAGAGACGCCCTCCACCTCCTCCAGTTCTGGTTCTCTGTCACTTCATTCAGAAATGCAACCCCAACATCACTCACAGACTCCAACAAACCTCTCTGCACGTCTCCTCCTCTTCCTACCTCCCTTGGCAGTGACCCTGGAGGAGAAGACAGCAGACTTAGAGACCATAAATGTCCTGCTAGTGTCACTAAGTGTGTGAGAGAGACTAAGACAGAGCAGTCTCCCCACACACTGGTCAGTGCCGCAGTGAACTGTGGCGGTACTGCAGTAGTGTTGGGTGCCGAGCAATTGGGTGGTGGTGACAGAAGTGATGGTGTGGGTGGTGCTAGTTGTGCGCATGGTATGGGGAATGGAGAAGTGATGGAGGGGAGGGGTGATGTAGCTGTGGTGGCTACTGATTGGACCCACACATCAGGCACCAAACCTGCAGATGTCACTAGGCAACCCAGTCTCAGTGAGTTCACTTCACATAGCTATGGTAGCAAGTGTTGAAATAAGCACCCCCATACCCCCCCACCGTAAAATGTATTATTGACCAAGCACAAGATATTTAATTATTTATCCTGTATGAGATGTTTCCTACACCAATCACACTTTTCCCAGAAGGGTATTGCAAACAGCACTCTGACACATTTTGGGTGAAATTTCAGTTGGTCGCTCTGACAACTGCCCTCCACTTGTACAAAATTGTATTTAGAGCCTGTTTCAGGCACCACTCTATACATCCACTCAGACAACTGAAAACCTGTTCCAGTGAAATAGGGACATGAATTTTCCTCTGCAGATGTCGTGAGCGACGCAATGGGAATCTATAGTACATACATAGCTCTGAATGCCCTTGCACCTGTTCGCATCCCAGACGACATTAGACAGAGTGTAGAAGGTGTGTTAATAACCATGCATGCGTTTATAGTGTATGAATTAATATTAGGAGTTCTGGTGTAGAAGTGCATTATTATTATTATTGTGTAAAGTTACCGACCATTTGTCAGGTCTATGTGCTACTAATGGGCAACAATTATGCCGGTGCAATATTGATGTATTCTCTCTTCCCTTCGTCGTGTGTCAGTGAGCATATGTCCCGAAGATGGAATTGTCAATCGAACCTGCTTTGACGAGGCTCAGGACTACGTCTATGGAATCATAGAGAAACGGTAAAACAATAGTGACGCCCCCACCTGTTACTTAACCGCTAACGAACAATCTCGTTGGACACACATCTCTCTCATCGAATTATCCACTGTTCACACCAGGTACTACCCACAGTTTCTGAGAAGTTCGTATCTGTGCAAATTCCAGTTGGAGTTGGTGTCTAGTGGACAGCTCTGTCTTCTGGATTTCCTTCTGGGCAGCGATTCACTTGGCTATTTCACTGAGGTTGGAGCGAGCACTGTTTTGTCATGTGCTCTCCACGTTGGCTCTACCATGTAGCTACATTGTTGCAATTATTAGCTACATAGTTGCAAATAGTTGCTATTGGCTACACTGTTGTGATATGATCTTGCAATTATTAGCTACGTGGTTGCATGTGGTTGCATGTGGTTGCTACAGTTATTCGCTATATACACTGTGCCAATCTATGTTGATACAGGTGTGCTTCCTTACTGAATCTGAAATTTCATACACACAAACACCGTTTTATCTTTCTGCATATTTAACCTATAATCCAGAATAGCTAGTCCACAATGATAAGTGAGCATTTGAGCTATTTTATTGTGCCCAGATTGGTATTGTTTTATCACACGGTATTGTGTGTGCCGACTCGATATTAATATTATGTGTGTGTAGCAACGTACAATCACATGACCTTAGAGTCACTACAACGTTTTCACAAATTCTATGATAAACTGATGAATTTGATTTACACACGTGGAACAAAAATATTTATTAACTGGTTTGCTGACTGTGGTTTCAGTGTGTGTTTGGTGTGTGTGTTTTAGTTCATGGAGGCTGAGGCTGCACTCCCACTGTTACAGTTCTGGCTAACTGCAGAAACCTTTCGTGAGAATCTCACCACAGCCAAGAGAACTCCTGGGAAGCAATGTAGCTCAGAGGAAAACTTGGAAGATGCCATCTCAATATATGAGAGGTGGGCATTATTATACCAGCTATAGTTAGTATATACAGCTAATCCTATCTCTATACATCCCATAAGCTTTTTGGTATAAGAGTGGATTCATAGTAAGGTCAAATTTCTAGTGGCCAACAGCCCAGCAATAGGGGGCGGGAAATTGGATTTGTGGCTCACATAAGGCTGTATAGCCCAGTAATAGAAACCAGATGGTGCACTTAGCTGCGGGTTTTGTAAGGACACACTTTCCAAGGCTCTACTGCTATGTGAGCTGGACTAATAGGGAAATAGCTGTTATAATGACTGAGTGTATATTTGAGCTCATTCCAAAGGGCAGCCAGGAAGTGCAGGTGTTCACATTGCAGCTGGCTCTGTTTACAGTGGTCATGCCTGTATGCTGACAGCTAAGTATGAACACGCATGAGTGACTTCTTTGGGGCGGATGTATTATTATAGCTACAGGATAACAGAGAAAGAAGATTCATGTATATACAATTGCGTGCACTTGATTCATGGTGTGGGCCGAAAGCGTGAGACTGTTGGAAAGAATTTGTGTAGGTATAGCTACACAACAGTATTCATAAGTAACCCAACATAGAACTATGTCTTATACTGTGTGCGCACCTGTGGTGCATGAAGCGGTGAATAATGGTTTAGATATGAATCTCTGTGTGTTGTTGCTGTTTTGCAGGTATTTCTCGCTGCAGGCCACCCAGCCACTGGGGATGGGTGACAGGGTGAGGGTGGAGATCGAATCAAGGATCTGCGACGAGAGAGGACCACGACCTGACTCTTACCTCCCTGCCCAACTGCTGGCTTATGACACCATGAATGAGGCATGAGAGATTTCCTATCCAATTCACACAAAAATGACAAACTGGTTTTTCCTGGAACTTCAAAGAGCTTGTATATAGTACTATAATGCTCTCAGAGTGTCTGAGCCAACTGGTATAGTTTTGCCATCTGTCAGCCTATAGATTTTATCTCTTGAGAGATCTGAAGAGTAATGCTTGGAATATTTGTGGTGTTGTCTTGTATTTTGGAATTAGGGATAGAGAATACTTTCTGTGGCATCTTTCTTGGCTAATGATTAGGTGGCCTTTTGTCAATTACAGCTTTGGTCTGTGAGTATAGGGGCCTGCAATTCATGCAGCTACTATGCCAGTTACCTGGCAACTATACCACCTAGTATGTATGTGTGTTATTAGAGGTGTGTCTGTTATGGGGTGATGTTGGTAAGACATCACAGTGGGTGGATTTTCTCTGTTGACTGATGTCTATTGTAAAAGCTGTCACTGTTAGTACAGACCATCAGCTATTAGAAATCACAGTATTGTGCCAGGTGTGCAGCTAGGGATATGAAACAAACATGTTAGCTGCTCAAGCTGTGTAGTGTGTGACCAGGTGACTTTTCCTTGCTTGGTTGGTTGACAATGGTTGTAGGGTGTGAGATGTCCTTACTCAGTTGTAGCCTACAAAAAGCCTCTGGTAGTAGTGGGTACATCATGCCTATGTAGCAATAAAAACTCCTTTTTGAGCCCAAGATAAGGCAAGGCACCCACCTCTATGGCTCAAGGCAGGAGACAGAGTTCTGGCAGTTTTACACAATTCCACTGTTTGTTGTGCAACAATATCTACCTGCCCCTTATTGCAGAAGTACTACCCACACTTCATGGAGAGTGGACCCTATATAAAGTTCCTCCACTGTCTACTGGCTGTGGTGAAGTCAACCCCTGAGGACCAAGAGCCAGACAAACCAACTCTCAACAGCAGAGCTGGGTCTTTCTCTGCTCAGTCTGAAACAGAAACCCTCCCATGGTTCCCTGCCTACGATGTGGATGACCCTGAGTCTCTGTGGAGACGGCCACATTTCTTGTAGGCCACACTTTGCTTTCTACATTCCCTCTCTAATTGGAAGAGTAACTATAGTAGTCCATTTCCTTATCACTGTGTTTCTATTGGCATGGAATTCTCTAGGCATGGAATTCTCTCTCAACTATAGGATGAGACTAGGGTGTGTGGATGGAATGGGACAATACTGGTCTGAAATAGATCCTTTTCCCACCAAGACAAACAGATCCAAAGGTCTGTTTGTGTCAGGATGCTATAGCTATAGGCTTGGCTTTCCTTTGGTGACATAATAATACCCTCTTCACTTTCCAGATCAGGCAAAGCACTTCAGACAGTTCAAAAACAGACAGGAAGAAGAGGTGATGATTCACACACAGCTAAGCTTGGTGAAAGCCTATTGTGTAGCTATATTATACAGTCAGCAGTTATTTTGCTAACTATACTGCACTCCCTTGTGTCTCTGTGTGTGGTTTTGTAGGAATGGGAGTATGCTGTGAAGGTATCAAAGACTATCGTGGCCAAGATCTTGAAGAGAACTTCTCGAACATCATTTAGGAAATAGCTGTTTGTACTAAAATACACATGTGCTACTTTTGTTTGTAAGACGCCAGCTTGGGTCGGCGGCAGCGCGCGACGAACGGTTTCTTTCTTCCCTGGTGCGCTCGTCGAAGCTAGGTAGCGAAAAATGAAGTTCTAGGCTAGGGCCCATCTGCACATCGACGTACTGACAGACGGACATGCACAGAAGGTTGTGCGGTTACATATTCACACGCGTTGCGCACACAGTCGGAGAGTAGCCGCGATTATTTACGAACGGGCAGTTTGGTGGACAAAACGCACAGTAAAACTACAGCAATAGGCCCAGGCCTTGTCCTCTGTTTCCCCCGTGGGCAACTTTTCCAAGGAACAAAACTTGCCCGCTTTATTGTTATTCTTCCCGGAGTGCTAGTGGCTCCGCTTGTAAAAAAATTAATTTTCTCGCTGTCGCGCAATCCGCGACCCCCAGGCCCATGCAATATAAAAGGGTGTCCAAACTGTTACTCCCACTTTCGCGGTAATTGTTGTTGCGTTCGGTCGCTAGTTGAAGATCGACTAACGACGCATGAGAGAAGTGGAGGTGTTTGGTACCGCAAAAAGTTCGTTGAAGACGGCGTGAAAAGTCGGGTAAAGACAAGACTGAAGAATATGACGGCGACGGCCGAGACGGCGTTCTCGTTCAAACCGGGGGATCTGGTCTTGATAAAGTGGAACGACAGTATGGTCTATTTCGCCAAGATAAAGAAGATCGACCAGCGGCGGAGAAAGTGCACGGTGGTGTTCGACGATAAGTCGCAGGACGAGGCCGACTTTAGCCAGATACACAGCGGTAGGTAGCTAGCGGTTCCTTGTCACGTGTGTGCCGGCAATGGGGGGACACAACTTGCACACACGGTCGCCACACACCAGTACAGCGGTCTTGGCTTTGTTGTCGCTTTCATGGGTGCCGCGAGAGAGAGAGAGCGCGGCGCGGGGCGGGGGGCGAACGCGCCAGCAAGTCTTCTAGCTCAATCAAGGAGGCGAGGCGCCATGTGGTGTAGTCAGCTAGTAGTCCGTTGTTTATGCAATGCTTTATACCCAACGCTCACGACGGGTGGTCAGACACACACAGAGGTAGTTTTTTATCCTAGCATAATAGCGTCATTGTCCTTTTGAAGTTGGTACACTGTGCCAGAATGTAGACCCCTGTGAGGTGTTAATTATTGTGTCACAGACATCAGTTCCCACTGCATGGAGAAAAGGATCCTGTTACCATGTAGCTGCAAAATAGTAGGTCTTGTAGCAGCAGCAAGTAACTAAAATTGCTTTGCCATTTTTTGAGGAGTGCATAATTATGCACACACTGTTGTGTTATTGCGCAATGGAATGTTGATTAGCTTACCTTTGAAGGGACCCACCATCCATCGGTGTAAATTGAAAGGTTTCATTTCAGGAACAATGAAACTAGCTTCCAGGTACTATGTGGCGATTTTACTATGGCAACTATGTGTTGTGTGCCCTATTGTGATTTGCCTGTGTGTGTGTGTGTGTGTATGACTGTGTATGACTGTGTATGCTACACAGTTGATGAAACCACGACTGATATAATCTGCATAAAGTGCAAGAGAGATGACTCTGACACACCCAATGAGATTGTTCTGTGTGACAGATGTGGCATAGGTGGGTTGTTCCTCCCTCCTCTCTACCCTGTTACTCTCTAATCACAATATTAAATCACAATGTAAAGGGTTGTTAGTCTAATTACATGCTGCATAATACCTAGGAATGTTGGGCTGTAGCCCTGTCAATTTGTCTCCTTGTATATACTCAAAGACAGTTCCCAAATGTACACGGTATGCATGGTGACACATGTGGGCATGCTTCATTTGGCTTCAACACCTCCGATACAATTGTAATCATGAGTTGTAAAACAGTGAATACTGCGCAATTTTATAGAGGTTGCTTCACCTCTACCTGGCTGACTAACTTGTGTATGCAACTATTGGCAAACATCAATTTTGTATTGTGCATAATTGAGTAGTCAATTAGCTTCAGAGTATTAGCTGATTTGTTATGCATGGACAAATGCACAAGTGTCGAAACTATGAGACAATGGTAGTCACTTAGCTTCTTTTTATGTACCCCCTTTTATGCTGTAACTACATACACATAGTGCTGTAACTAAGTGACTATTGCTGCTACTAGGCAACCGCCCCAGCCAGATGCTATGATTGTGTATATATCACTTACCGTGCAGGCTATCATCAGAAGTGTCACTCTCCTCCCATCCCGGCAAGTGCGCTAGAGCTGGACACTCCGTGGAACTGCGCCTACTGCCTAAGGGGAGTCAAGTGTCCCTATCTTACGGAGTCCCTCGATGTCCTTCAGAACCTAATCTCTGACGAAGAGGGGCAGTCCCATGACGAGGTGGACAGCATCACGACGGCGGAGAGCGATGAGGGAGGGGAAGAATTCACTGCCCCCCTCATTTCTCACCACGGGAAATACCTTGCTCCACCAAAAATCCCAAAAAAGAGGGTATAGATGTAACCTGATTACTCATTATAGTCTTTATTTCCATATTAATGGGTGCTCAGGGCTCTTGAGTATAGCAAGGGAGACCATAATTATAGTGGTGAGGGGAAGTTGGGTTAGGGTCATACTCTCTGAGGTTTCCAACTTGTAAGAGTTCATGTTTTTACAAGCCCTTGCCTTTTACCCTGACCTTTTACCCAAGAGCAAGAGCAAGAGCAATATTCACTAGAGTGCGTGAGTGGCGTGTGTGCAAGTAGATGAAAATGTCGTGGTTTATGGGAGGGATTTCTGATGTGGTTTGCAGGGAAGGAAGCCCAAAGTGAGGCGTGGTCCAAAGCCCAAGGATCGGGCCAAGTCGCCACTGGCTCTCGATGTCCACCGCTTCAAGAAAGAGGACTCGATAGATAGCGTGGACTTGGTGGTACCCTCCGGAGAACCCGCTGAACTTAACTCCTCTGCATCGTGTGCTACTGCCCAGCGTGAGATGCAGCTACGGAGGAAGAGGGCGCAGGTTGTATCGCCGCCGACCGTCCAAAAGAGGCCGCGAAAACCCTCTGTCCAGTCGCAGACTCTGTCAGTGACTCGGATACCGGGCTCCGTGGTCACCAGAGAGGGGACCGCTAACTCCAGGCCGGATATCACAGATGAAAGTCACGAGGAAGTGAACCACGAGGCGCGAAGAGGCGACTGTTTTCTGCCCGGTCCCAAGCTACCGGCCCCTGCACCGACTAGCAACTCTCAAAGTGGAAGCTCTCCGCTGGCTTTTCCAGAGAGAAAGCCGCGTAGTCTCAGAGTCTCGCTCAATCTTCCAGACGAAGTAGAGCCCGGGTCGCCCATGGAGAAGGTAATGAGATCCCAGAAACTGCTCTCTCCAAAATTTGCCATTTCTTCCCTGCCACTGTGGGACGACGATCTCGGACCCAAAACCGCCGTGTCGATTTCAACCGCCAACCCCCCAATGATCAAGTCGCCCCCTTCATCTGGGGGTAAAATCGTAACTCTGAGCTCGCACAAGGGCTCCTCGGAGAGCAGAAGTCCGTCTCCCAAGAGAGAAGGTGGACCACTGACTCCGTTCACAGCCTCTGCTCTCCCCCTGCAGGCAACACCGAAAACTTCGGAAGGGACGGGAGATAGAAAAAGAAGGAGCAGAGAAGACAGGGAGGACGTTGTTGAGGATTCACTCGTCCCCAAAAGGCCTAAACCGACGCTCAAATCGCCTCCAAATTCCCCTCTGGAAGATGTCTTTGTTTCACCTGTCAAAGCTGAGGTGGAGTCGATTTCAAACACCTGTCCAAGCTCCAGGGAAGCAGCAGCATATACGGTTGGAACTCACGCCCCAGACTCAGGCACTGCTGTTGCCAACCTTGAGAATTATGGGCAGTCAAAGATAGTTTCTCTGGGCCCAGCTATTCTCCCACAACACAATGCAGCTCCAGTTGGATATGGATGTACACAACCACAGGGAGAGGGCCCCACTCCGCACCTGCCCACCCCTCAAAATGACACACCCTCTGTTGTTACAGTCCAGCCCTTGCCAGCAAACCAGGCATCTTTAGGCACTTCCCCTGTTAACAGTCCCCCTCATGCTATCAAGCCAGCAGTGCCATCTAGATCAGAGGGGGCCCAGCCTGCTGTTATAAAGTCCACACCAAGCCAGGTCTCCAACCCAAAGAGCTCTGCTCCCCCTTCTACCACAGTCAAGATCCCCTCTAATCCAGCTGTGGTTGAAACTACCCATTTCCCTGTGTCTCAAAATCCAAGTGCGAGCCTAGCTAGCTCTCAGCCTCCACGCACTACAAGTGGGGCCACTGCAGTGTCTGTCATCACATCTCCTACTACCGCTCTGACCTCAGCCTCTAGTTCGACCAAGCAGAAACCCTTCCCCAAATCCAAAGACAGTGACATCATCATCACTGGTGTGGAAATTAGACCTCCCCAAACGTCTTCTGCCGGTCCCTCTGATCTCCAACACACACCTCACTCTACTGCTCGACAAAGAAGTGTTTTAAGCCCAATAGTCTGTTCTTCTGTGACAAAGGTCTCCACTACAACTTCCCCAGTGGCTGCCACTTCTCACCCCCAAACTTACTGCCTGAGTGGAAAACGCCAGATGGCTGTGCCTGGTAACAGAGTAACCTCCAAGATAGTGGTAAGCCCATGAATACAACCATAGATAATGGATTTCTGATATTTCCTGTTTACTCTGACTGCTTACATTTCCCCCTGCCAGGGTTTGAAAACTCCTGTGCTTCAACAACCTCCTCAAAAGTCTGTACCCGGAGCATCTGAAGGCGCCAAACAGATTCCGAGCAGACCTGAAGCTGGCCCCATTCTGAGTCAGACTCCAGTCTCTGTAGCTACCACCCCTACTGGATACACTTCAACAGGCGGTGGTACCACTCCATACACCATCATACCAACAGACGCTGTGGTATCAGGAGGGCAGGGTGTAACAACAGCCATCGCTGTTCCGCCACCTTTTACTACTAGAGCTATTAAACCAGGGACTCTACCAATCAAGAACTCTGTGGTGCCTCCTCATACGGCCGCTGCCCCTACCATTCACTACATAATTGAGCCACTAGGACGGGCAGCTACGTCTGTAATATACAGCCAAACGACAGGGGTGCCTGTTGTTACCCACACCCAGCCGAGCTCGGCTAGCGTACCAGTCTACCACACTGAGATTGCATCTAGCAAATCGCCAATGCCAGTCACCACAACAAAACCGTATGCCATTGTGTCAGCGCAACCCACAGCCTCCATTGAAATCCAAGGAATTGCAGTCAATCAACAGGGAACACCCCTCATTAGCCCTCAGGTCCAGTTGGGATACGGTCCCGTGTCCACCACACCCTACATTCAAACTGTAGTGACTCCAAGTTCCAATGCAAAGCGTTCAATTCATACTATGGCTGGCAGCTCAAGCAGCGCCAAACAGTCTAAGATATCTGAAATGGCCCGAATGTCGCCTACTGCAAAGAGCTCTTTGTCGCACCCACAAACCCACGAAAATGCGCAGTTGGAAGAGATTGGGAAAAACATCAGTGATGCCTTTGCCAGTTCAAGTGAACAGATGCTCATTGCGGCCTTTGAAGACGCTTGGAAAAAGTTTCAAGCCAACGGGAAGAGGTACCAGGCACCCAAAAGCGGCATTAGGAAAACGGGAGGGCAGCCAGAGACCGGTGGAAAACCGATCCCTCCACCGAACGCGGAGGTTGTGAGCGTCCCAGGAACATCGTCTCGGCTTAGTCTCATTCGACCCACGTATTCTCGGTCGAAGATGCCAGTCGTGCAGTCGGCACCCGACCAGCTTGTGTGTGTGCCAGCTGATGCTGCTGCTCGTACAGGGCTAGCTGTCACTACTACACCTAATATGCAGCAGAAACAACATCCAGTGCAGATAATCTACTGCTCCAGCCCCTCTGTCCAGCAACAAGTCTACAATGGAGGCTCGGAATACTCTGGTACGGCACTTTATGCAGTCGCTCCCAATAACGCCCAGTCGCCGTACAACATCATGCAACACCAGCCACACAGAGGTGGAAAGTCGATGGGCTCCAAAGTCACCCAGGTTCATACATCCGGTATTTATATCCCGGCACATGCATCTGATGTGAGTCTGCAGAACCAACAGCCGACTGCTGTTGTGGTGGAACCTGTCGCAACTGGACGACTGAACAAGTCGATGTACATGCTCCAAGGAGCCAGCAGCCGATTATTGTAAACGACAGGGGTGTCCCCGTGCAGCAGCAAGAACAGGTAGCAGTTCAGCACCTGAGCGTGTTGAACAAATCTCAGACAATTGTCATTGGTGGGGGGGATCACCAACAAGTGGGAGGTACACTACAGCAGAAGACGACATCTGTTGCCAGTGCTGGAAAGGCGACTCGCCATTGTGCCTTGTGTGCCAAAGAGGCCACCTACCTCTGCTCCGGCTGCCACAAGATCTGGTACTGTGGGAAAGACTGTCAGGTATGCAAACACTGTAACCTCTTATCAAAACTCCGTTTAGCTACCACAACTTTCCTTGAAAAATGTTTTCCTCTAGAGAAATGTGCATTTTTGTTAAAGACAATAATTTTATTACAGTTGAAGGCTTGGGAGGAGCACAGTGAAAGTTGCAGGAGCTAATGTTATCAACATCATTGTGTCACCACGCAGTACATCACTTTGACTTTTGCCTTTGATTATTGTATCCACGCTTGAATCTCCAGTCACAATGATTATACAAAGTATAAACCCTCCAATTTCCTCAATATTATTGTTATGCAAAAGTGTTATCAGTGTTTTGCGATCTTGATTTGTAGCTAGAGTGCGCGGGTAGCGCGCGCGCCGTGAATCGAGCGCCAAGAAGGCGACCGTACGGCGGTCGCTTAGCTGCAGAAAAACTCAAAAGTTGTTTCGTAAAACATTCGCGTCCTCTGTGCTATTGTGAGTTTGCGGGCCCACTGCCGTATGGAGAACCAGCCAGTGCAGGCCAACGCTCAGCCCATGAGCTACAGCATCGTGTTCAGCCCCGACAAGCCGCAGGTACCCGTCCCCAAGTGCGTGACAGAGTACAAATCCAAGCCGGCCGACTCTCCGGGTACGTTGCAGAGAAGACTCGACGACGCTACAGAGCGCCGCAAGGTAAAAAAAACACTATTTTCTTTCTGGTATATAACTATTGATGTTCAGGAGGAAGAGCAGGCGAGACTGGCCCGTATCCAGCTGCGAGATAAAGCGGTGACCGGGTTCGACAAGATGGTGAGACCGTACATTGACTCTCTGCAACAGCAAGAAGAGGAGGAAGCTACCTGCAGCCGCAGAGACTGAGAGACCTTATAAAAACAGAACATATCAACCCGCTGATGGGTCATATATAGCAGCTGCAAAGCATATTTATGACGGAAATCAATTATAACAACAGCAGGAAAGGTTATATAGCAGAAGGAAGGACACTCTTATGTTCAACACCATGTTACATGTGTAATGTATCAATGCTATACTGATGAGTTAATGATTCATGAAGATGGTGAGTCAGCTGAAACGATAGTTTGTTGTGGCTGTGAGAGAGGCTTCCCAGCGACAAACTGGATCCCTGGTTGCCTGTACTTGATGGTGCGTGAAGGGGCAGATCTCAGCACCGTGCTTTCTTCCTCCTCAACTCTGTCATACACCGTCGAGATTATTACATCACGAGTGGCTCTACGTGGCCTTTTGTTCCTCTGCGGCATGTGTCTGATTAACTTCTCACCACGGTAGCTGCATAATAGAGAATTTCACCAATAAGTAAGTGTGCATGGCTCTGGCTAAATATGAGGTAGCTATAGAATTAGCTATCTGTAAAGGATTTCTTGGTGAAAGGCCAGAGCACTGTGGAATACACAGAAGTGGTAATTTCAGATTCACTTGAAATGCCTTTTGAGAGGACTATGTAGCTATATATACTGTTACAGACGGCAGACTGACCCAAATCCAGTCTTGTTGTGAGGGTGTTGTCCCTCTGTGTCCACAGGCACAGTTCGACCATCGGAGGCTCTGCCAACTCCACTGCCTTCAGTCCAGCCCGAGCGTCGCAGGACCTTGCTCCCCACACCTTTGGTGTACCGCTCAAAGCCAGCAAACACACCGGCTTGCTGGGCACCTTCTCGAATGCTCTGTTCGTGCCTCATGTCCCTCATATCACGTGCAGCCTTGTCTCCACCTTCTGGTGAGGTATAAACATCAACATAATGCAGAATCATTTGAAGGTTGTACATTATACCACATAATTTGTGTGGAAAAACCTTGTGGGAAAAGTTCTCAAACATTTCTTGTATACAGAATGACAAGTCAGTGGAATACCTGGGTCATAGTAAAGAGCTGTGTCAACGTCCCAATCATCCTCCTTAGAGCACTGCTCGTCGAAATCTGCAAGCATTACGACCAATAATCAGAAAGTGAGAGATACAGTACTACGCACGACAGACCTCCCTCCAAGTTTTGCCAGTGGCTGGCATCAGTGTAAAACACGAGACCGCTGCCTCCCTTCTCCCACACCACCTCCATCTCCTCCTCGTACAGTCGCTCCTTGCTACGACCCTGAATTACATCATAAAGTAATCTACAGCTACATACACACATGTACTGATTTGTGGGGCCCAAAAATTGTGATTTGGCAGTAAAGAATTTTTACTTTCACACGTATGCTCCAGTCACAAAATCACTTGTGTTGATTGGCTATATACATCAGACTACGAAATTCGCTGCAGACTCACTTGTTTAACTGGACATACGGACTCACTTGTTTATCAACGTCATCATGGAGTGCCTCATATCTCTCCCACTCTTCAGCGTCATGATCATCATCCTATGACGTTTAACACAAAATATAAGCAGTGTAGTGGCATTGATTCATTAGGTGTATTACCGATGGTATAAATGCCTCCTCTTCTTGTTCGCAATCACTTTCTTTCGTACTCTTTTCTTCTTTTGTCACTTCCTCCTCTTCCTCCTCACTCCCTCTCCCTCCTCTCACCTCCTCCCCACACCCATAGTCCAGGCCTACTGCCCCGTACTTCCGCTTACTGCGCCACTTTGGAAATTCCAGACCGAGTTTCCCAATGAGTCTACCGGGCAGCTTACACTGACGGATGAGATCCAGGAAGGATGCTGTCGGTGTTCCCACATTCCCGTTTGGCATGACAGAGGGAGGGTTTAGCTCTGGTAGGGTGCAGAGGTCACTCCATGGGATCCCCACCTTGGTTCGATCATCACCAGCAGCTTTACAACAAAAAGTCCATTTACGATATCAGACAATCAACTACTTTCACTAGTCCCTGTTATAATTACCTGTGATTGACTCGGTATGGTCAGCTTCCTCAAAGGATACTTGCAATCTACTGAGTTTGACTTTTCTACTGAGAAGCGTCCCGTCCGACTTGGCCCAGTGTCTCCCGCGGCCGTATCGCCTCAGTAGTTCGGGCTCGTGCTCCTTCCGCACGGCAGCTACGCAACAACGCGACGCAGACGTCTTCAGACCCGCTTCCACCGTCCGTAGAATAGCAGGAGTCTCGCTCTCGCCACTCTCTCCTCGACCCTCTCCGCCGCCATCAGCCGTCTCGGCGGACTCCGAGGGAAAGCTTATTTCTTGTCCCACGGTAGATTCTTTAGCCGTAGCATCGCCTTCGTCGAGTGGTGTCAGCCTCTTGCTGGCCCCTGGAGCCGTGTGGTCGGTCGCGGTCTGGGGCCCAGTAGAGGCAGAGGTGACGCTGCTGACTATGGGCAGGTGCTCAGGTCGATGCCTGAAGTGGAAGCAGGCGAAGGCTCGCCGCTCCACCAGATGTGAGAAGAAGGCCCGTAGATCGGCGGACCTCAGTTCCACGGGAATGTTACCCACTAGCACGAAACAACACCTTCTAGCTTCTTCCACCAACATCGTCCGTGATTTTGTGCTGATTCAGCACGTACGCACGGGGGGTGGGGGGCCTGTTTGGGGGGGGGTGCGGGGGCGGGGGGGTGGGGGGGGGTGCCGGGGGGATGTCTTGGGGTAGGGGGGAGTGACGAGGGGGGTGGGTGGGGGGGAGGGGGTGTGGTGGGGGTGGTGGGGGGAGGGGGGGGGTGCGGGGGGTGGGTTTGGGGGGTGGGGTCTGGGGGGCGGGTCGTGGATGGGGGCCAGCCAAGGTGTTCCTTATACAAATAACCAAAATACTAAATTCACCCCCACACCAAAGATAACATAAAAAAATAAAAAAACAAATCTTAAAAAGAAAACCATAACTAAAAAAAAACAAAAACAAAACGAAACAAAAAAAAACTTAAACAAAAACAAAAAAACCAACACAAAAAACAACAAAAAAAAATAAAAAAAATAACAAAAAAAAAAAACACAACAAAAAAAAAAAAAATACCAAAACAAAAAAAAAAAAAAAAAGAAAACCCAACCACCCCACCCCAAACACACCCTCCCCCCTCAACATACGTGGATAGGAGGTGGGGGAGATCGGTGGGGGTGTGGTGTGGGGGTGGGGGAAGGAGTCAGGAGAAGGTGTCGTGTGATGGAGCGGGGATAGCGGGCTGATCTGGGGGGGGTTTTCAACAGGGGGGGGGTGGTAGGGGTGTGGTGTGGTGTGGGTTTGGTGTGGGGGTGAGAGTGGGTCCATATGGGAAGGGTGGATGGGATTTCGGGGGGATGGTTCCTGCCACCCTTTATAGTGGTGGTATAAAACAATATAAAACCAAATCATAATGTAACAAAAATTCTTAAGATACAAAAAAAGGGGGAGTGGCTGTGGGGGTGGGTGGGTGTGGTGGTGCGCGCAGTGTGGTGGGGGGGGTGTGGGGTTGGGAGGGGCATGGGGGGGAGAGGAGGCGCGCAGGTGGTGGGGTAGGCGCGGTTGTGGGCAGTGTTGGGTGGCGGGGTTGATGGGGGGGACATGGGGGTGTGGTGCGGGTGGGGTGGGTGGGGGGGGTGATGTGGGTGTAGAGGTGGTGGGGTGGGTTGGGGTTGGGGGGGTCGAGTTGTGTGGGAGATGGGTGTTGGCGGGGGGGTGTGGGGGGGCAAAGGGTCGAGTGTGCGGGCGTGGGCTGCGAGGAGAAGGGGCAAGGGGGAAAGAATGAAGAAGCCAAGGAAGGGAAGGGCGAAGCAAAAGCTAAACTAACGCCCACCCACGCCGGCGCCAGTCAGCCCGCGCCGGCCCCGAGCAGAGCAGCACACAGCGCAGGACCGACCCCAAACGCACCCGCCGCCCCAGCGGCCAGCCGAGCACCCACCCCACCCAGCCCCGAAACGCGTACGCACCCCAGACCAACCCAGACTGGTTCCAACTAACTCGCCGTGAAATAGCAGAGTCTCAATGGTTTATATGAAAACACTCACAAAATGTCGCGCAATTTAAGCCATCACCAGTAGGCATGAGGCACAAATCACTTTCATCGTCCATTTCTTTCCTCCAATCCATTTTAACCCTCACTGGGTGTGTTGGGGGTTTGGTGGGTGGGCGAGGGGGGCGGGTGGGGTGGAGGAGGGTGTGGGTACGGGGTGGCGTTGTGGGGGGGCCGAGGATCGCCTCTTAATAATTTCTCACATTTCTGAGATTAGAGTTGTGGTATTTGGCGCGGAGATGTTTTAGTGGATATAGATTGCTGACATCAATTTTCGCAGCAATAATTTATTTGATTTCTGTCATGCATCGGTAATAGGCGATATTCGTGCCCCTCGTACTTCACTTGATTACACAGTGCATACTTCCGGTCTGTGTACTACATTGAAATGATTTTTATGTGCCCAGCTTTCTGTCGTTTTTACCAATTTTGCAGTAGCGAAAGCTTCTCACTCAGCATGTGCTACCTTGAGTCGTCTCTCACATGCTTCCTGCGTTTCTCGTTGTGCAGTTATCATTTTGTTGGATTACTTTCCTGGCCCATCTCCATATTATTCTTTGGACTTCGAGCATAATTGTGTTCCATTTATTCATGGCATTATCTGTGATCATA